CTTACTTTCTGTAATGATGCTATCGAGTGGAGCTTCCAGTCCCTTTTGCTTTACTTTTGGTGCAAAAATCACTGTATATATATAACCGTTTTTTGTTCCTTGTATATCGCTCAGTGCTGTATCATATAAGTTGGATACATGTTTAATGTTGTATTATATAAGCTGCAAAAAAAACATTTACCTCTGTGATTTATGTACTACGGCTTGTGGTAGATTTGTGTTTTTTGCGTTTTGGGGGATCCATTGTCTTTTATGAAATGCAAATACACATAAATACTGAACATTTGTGAACACATATGTACTTTTATAACCAAAACATAGGAACATTGTTTTTGGACCACAAAGTCCCAGAACATCCTGGCCAACATAAGGTAATTTTTCCGAACTCTGATTGTAGGACAAGGAAACTGGAAAATATTTTCTGTTCTGAAGCAAGTTCTAACATAGTTGGTCTGGCAGTATTTTTATCATGCCACAGATTCAGTGGAAAAAAATTGAAGGTTTTGATACTTTGAACTCTCCAAATCCCCAGAGCAGCTGTGCAACTATTCTCAAAAAGTGTTTCAGGAAGAAGTCGCAAAGCAGAAAGTGAACACATCAACACCTCTTTTGAAAGCTGGGCAATCCATCTGCCTATTGAAAAGGGAGGCTGATTCTGAATGTGTTCTCCAACAAAACAATTAAGTTGATTTACACTGGCCCAAATTCAATTACTAGTTCCAGCAAGAGTAGGGCACTTGAATCATTATTCAACCTCTGATTTAGCCAGTCTATTCTAAACCATAGTTTATAGCAGAGTTCTTAATCATTAGTTTGCTAGGTATTTTGAACTTCAACTCTCAGAAACCCTCAGCCAACTCAGCCAATGGTTAAGGATTCTCAGAGCTGATGTCCAAAATATGTAGCAGACTATACATTTGATCTTTGTCTTGTGTTTTTAATATATTATGTTTATGGTTTTTTGTTATAGCTATGTATTTTAATTATGTTGTACCCATCCTCAACATGTGAGGAGAGGCAGGTAACAAACTCCTCCTTCCTCTTCCTCTTCTCTTATTCTTCTTCTTCCTGCCACTACTACTACTACTACTACTACTACTACAATAACAACAACTCTGCTCAGATTTTGCAGACTATGGATTGTGGCTTCCTTGTCGGAGTCTATCCACCTGAACTGCAGTCTTCCACTTTTCCTCTTGCCCTCTGCCTTACCAAAGATTGATGTCTAGTTCCTCCAGCACAGATCCATGGTCACCTTCTAGCAAAAGCATGCCACAGAATCATGTTGATGACTTTATCAGGTGCAGATAAAACCAAAAGTACTGATTCCATGCATTGGGGAACATGCTGTATTTCACAGACCTTTTGTTATGGCAGTTCAATCGTAATCCTAGTGCTATAACTATGTAGCCAGAAGAGGTTCTATGTTGTAGTATCCCCTTTCCGTCCATCTCCACAACCTCCTATTCCTCCTCTTCCTCTACTGCCCTTGCCTTTTCTTTCCACAGAGATTTGGCAGGCAAGAACTTGTTGTCATAATATACCTATAGAAAGCATGTTATCCAGCTGTGAAAAAATTGATAATTTGATTTAGGAAGCACTTCGTACTTGATGTGTCTGCCTGGGTCTTCCTAATGGTAGGGATCTCTTTCTTACGGTATCAAAGGCATGTTTAAAAATATCACAAGTACAAACAGCAGGAGCTCCAATACAGTTCCTCTTATGCTGTGATCCATTTAAACCCCAAGCTACACAAGATTAACATCTGCAAGCCCACTAATAACTCTTTAAGATGGCAGAAATTATATTATTAAACATCAGGGAGGCCACAATATCTAGATTGTGGGCTTGGCAACTAGTAATGTTGGCCTGGTGTAGTAAAAATATGTACCCGTTTACCTGCAGTTCACCAATTCCCATACCAGGCGTTTTCTGTTTCCTGTGTAAAGCTATATTTAACTCAAAAACCTGTATGCAAAGCTAAACTATTTCCTCCAACTATTTTTAAATGGTCACAGTCCCCTACTGTTATTATTATTATTATTGAGGCAGCTATATCACCAATCTGTTGAGAGAGAAATGACTTCTTCAGGGGGTTAGTGACAATAAACTGCTTACACTGCCCAGGATAATCACACAAAGCCTGCAAAGAATTTCTGCTGGCACATGTAATCCACTGGCAGAAATCAAATGCTGGAAACCAACACTTCCATTTAAAAACATAAGATTAGCAGTGCCCACGCTGCTCCTGAGGACTGTGATTAAACAATCCATTGGCAGTAGAAAGTCTTTCATTCTGCAACTTCACCAAAAGACATTATAAAGGTCAGTCTGCCAATAATGCTATAATTGAAAAGAACGGCAATCCCTGCAGGAGGTGTAGTTTCAAACTGCTGGGTTTTTTTTATGGTAAATAGGAAAACCTTCCCCAATATTATTCTTTGAAGAAAGGATGGCATTTTTTAAAACAAAATCCTGTTTCAAAGATATATTTGATTGGGTGACTGCTATTCAAAGTAGCCACTGTTCTACATTTTAAGGCAACATGGCATGAGTGGCTTTGTGGGTCTTCAGGCCTTTGAATCAGAACATCAGTCTCTCCCGTCTAAACATTCGTGGATTGCTAAAATAGCTATATTAAACCCACAAAAACTCTTTTTATACGGTGCATTTCCCATTTGAGGGCTGCTCCTCCTAATACTCTGGAAGTGCCCTTTGTAACCATGTTGGCAAAAAGGAAAACAGCTGGAACATAGCAGTGGAAATGGTGTTTTGTTGGACCTCTGGATTTATCGACACAAGAGCTTTTTGCATTGTGAAGACAGGTACTGAGTCCTCCATGACGTTTTCACCCACACGTATCTCAGATATAATTTATCATATTAGTCACAGTTCCACAGTCAGTTGAATGCTGATTTATATTATGCCTACTTAGAAAAGCAAAAGTTGTGGTTCCTGAATCCTCCAAAGGCTATTAATACATTAAATAAATAAATAAATAAATAAATAAATAAATAAATAAATAAATAATTTAAAGAGGACATTAACAAATTAAATATAGTATTACAATTTAAGCATATAGTCTACATGCTATGATAGTTTAAAACAGGGGTCCTCAAACTTTTTAAACAGAGGGCCAGATCACAGTCCCTCAAACTGTTGGAGGGCCGGATTATAATTTGAAAAAAGCATGAATGAATTCCTATGCACACTGCACATATCTTATTTGTAGTACAAAAACCACTTAAAAACAATACAATAATTAAAATGAAGAACAATTTTAAGAAATACAAACTTATTCGTATTTCAATGGGAAGTGTGGGCCTGCTTTTGGCTGATGACATAGGAATGTTTTTGTTGTTGTGTGCTTTCATGTCGTTTCAGACTTAGGTTGACCCTAAGCGAGGGCCGGGTAAATGACCTTGGAGGGCCGCATCCGGCCCCCGGGCCTTAGTTTGAGGACCCCTGGTTTAAAATATCACAATATAACGCTCAATTATAAATTAAATAATAAAACACTCTGCTTCATACAAAATAGATAGCTGTCTTCAAACATTCAATATAAGTAATGCAGTCATCCCTCCACATTCAGTCATTAAGAGCACATGACTCCTATGTAAGTGAAAACCATGAATAAAGAAATGGCTATATGTTTACCAAGGTGAAATTTCTAGGTCTCCCAGCATGACTTCTGGAGGACCTAGGAGTTCCACTGAGGCCATCACATGATGTAAGGGCACTTCCAGTGGGAGTCTGTGGGATTCCGTTTCCACAGCATATGGAAATGCAGCCCAGAATGCATCTTCAGGAGTTGGGTGCTATCTGACTCCAAATGGAGGAAAATGGGAGAAAATGGGAAAAGACCGGGAAAGGACATGGAATGGCTGGCCATCCTAGAAGATGGACCTCAGCAGTAGGGACTGAAGACAGTTCCCTCCACTTTCCCTCTGCTCATGGCATGAAGTCCTTAGAGGTTCTTAGAGAGGTGTTCTCTATAGAAATCTCCAGATCCTCTAACGTGACCAAAGGAATTTGACTGTAGGGTCCCACTGAAGGACCTACAGATTTTGATAGAGGACAAATTTATGAATACTCAAATCTGCAAAGTCATAATACCAAATGTGGAGGGATGACTATATGTACTTAATAGCAATGTCCTGGCTTTCAGATTATACACTTGAACAGCATACAGAGAGTAGAATGGAACTACTCTCTTAGTTTACCTCTTGGTACCCTAAAAAAAATGCAGTGGGATCTGATAACAATCAATCAAAGTGTGGGCCAATGATTTTATTTTGTATTGCGTGCTTATCTTATACTGCTTCTTATCTTATTTTTATCTGTATTATATTTTATTGATGTATTGTTTTATATTGTATATTTGCTTTGATGTAATTGTTGGGCTTGGCCTTATGTAAGCCGTTCCGAGACCCCTTGGGGAGATGGTGGCGGGGTATAAATAAAGTTTTATTATTATTACTATCAATGATTCCTCACATTGGCCATGGATTACTCAGAATCAAAGGCCTGTCTGAAGAGCCATATTTTCAGACTCACCTGGAAGGCCTGAAGAGAGGAGGCTACTGTAATTTCCTTAGGGAGGATGTTCCAAAGCCGGTTTCTTCACACCCCTCGTCAGCACTCCACAGATTTGCCATGATGTGTGGCTAATTTGTATGCCAATGTGATAACGTTCTTTAACTGCCATGGCTCAGTGCTCTGTAATCATGGAAGTAATAAGCTGGTGCCTAACCAACTCTACAAATCCCAGGATTCCATAGCACTGAGCCATAGCAGTTGAAGTGGTGTCAAGCTGCATTAATTCAATGGTGTAGATGTATCAAAAATGTAATTGTGTATTAATTATTATATTTCAAATGTTGGATTTCAGTCAGTAATGAAAGCATGGTCTAACAGGTGAGCAAATTTACTGTGTTGCTATTATTAGAAAGTGACATTTTGATAAAGTATTGTCTAAATATACATTTTTAACTTCACAGTCATTCCTATTAAAATCCCAAGGCTCCAACTCTCTCATTATGAAGACAACAAGAATTATTACAATAGCCTCTGGTAAGGAATTAAGTGAAATGCATATTTTACCATCTATGTTTCATGGATTCGTGGCCAGTTACAGTAATTACATGAGATGAATTATTGATTAGTCTCACATGTAAACATAAACTAACATGTGGTTTGTTGGATTCTGACTTGCTGTAGAGGTTTGCTAGCGGCAAACCACAAAGACAAGTATGGTTTGTTACCAACTTATCATTCCATGTCTTGAGTCCCACATTGGGAGAATTATAGCATGAAAACTTAATAAATAAATATAATTAAAGTCTAGAATACTTAAAATCATGACTTCGTATCATTCAAATTAAGAACCACGACTTGTCCTTTGCTGTTTCCCACAGTTGTCCACTGTGTAACAGCAACTTGCTGGAGGAGTTGGAGAGATATAAGAAAAGCAGAAGTGGTTGGTTTGTTGGGCAATCCATGACTACGGCAACAAACCATGACTTACCACTATATAATCTCAATTTTAGATTTTGAAATAGTCAAAAAGATTTCAAAACGAGTATAATAGACCTGAAAAATTAGGGAAGCAATCCCGATGAAAAAAAATTCTATTTAGATAATGCACAGATAGTTATATACAAAGTGACATTACAAACCTACATACAGGTAACATTGGAATTAGTCCCACTGAACTCAGAGAGGTTTATTTCTTTAGAGATCTGTACTGCAAATCCCTGAAAGTTCATAATCTCATGTTCAGCTTCATATAAAATGATACCACTTGTGCATTTGCCTCACATTTTTCTACTTACTGTGTTTCAGCTTTGTTGCTGACTTGTATCAATGCAACGAAAGAAGCCACAAAGAAGAATAAAAAGTCTAAACTATGTAAGTAAGCAAAGTACTGTAGTGAACATATTTTTTGTCAGTTTTCTCTTTGGACACCACATAAATAAATTATATCAAACTTTATTGCATTTGTTCATTGCCAATTGCCTGTACACACCTACTTAGGGCCCTTGCACACAGCCATATAACCCAGAATATCAAAGCAGAAACTCCCACAATATCTACTTTGAACTGGGATAGCTGAGTCCACACTGCCATATATTCTAGTTCAAAGCAGAAAATGTGGGATTTTAGTTAGCTATGTGGAAGGGGCCTTAGTATCAAAGGCAATTGCAAGTAAACACTAGACCTCTTTTAAAAAACACACACACAGGGAAACACTGGGGTAATATCCGGCATGATAAAATTTGTGCTTCCTGGGTCAGTTTCTTCTTGGTAAAATATCAACCAGCGTCTGACCTCATTGTTTGGGCAATAAAGAAGATGAACACTATTAGCAAGACATTTTTGAAAAAAAGGGAGGTGAACTGAATTTTAAAATTACAATATTTGGACCCTAGGGCACAGATCTTGACCTCCTCCCTTTGAAATCCCTTGAACATTTTATTTTTCTATCTTCTTCATCCTTCACTCATAGGTTTTCATTTTCCCTGTTAATAGTTTAGGAGTTTCTTGTTTAGAAATATCTCAAATTTGACTCTAAACAGGTATGTTTAGGCAATGTTTAAATGCAACAATGATGCAAAATAATATTGTACGGTTCTGGCCCAGTCTACTTGCCTGAACGCATCCAGCCCTACGTCCCATCTCATAATCTAAGATCATCCAGGGAGGCCCTGCTCTCACGCCCGTCAATTGCACAAATGCGTCTGGCGGGGACGAGAGACAGGGCCTTCTGGGTGGTGGCCCCTCGCCTATGGAACACACTCCCAAATGAGATAAGATCTGCTCCCTCCCTCCTGGCATTTAGAAAGAAATTAAAATCATGGCTTTGGGATCAGGCCAGATGTTTGTAGAATTTAAAGGACATGGACTAGAATGACAATACGACTGGCAAGACTGTTTTTATTATTTATTGTTTTAATGATTGCTTATGTACTGTCTAATTATGATTAATGTTTAATTGTGGTTTTATCATTGTGGTTGTTATGGTTTGGCATCGCGTCAGTGTCCAATGTATGGCATTGAGGTTTTGTCAGTTATGTGTAAACCGCTTTGAGTCCCCCTAGGGGTGAGAAAAGCGGTACAGAAATACTGTAAATAATAATAATAAATAATAAATATATATTTATGCATGTCTTTTATGATTTTGTATAGCTCTTTTGAAGAAGATCCTAAGAGCACATGTGTATTGCGCTTTTCTGTTAACAGGCACACCACCCGTTGAGTATCTTCAAAGGAGTTGTAAACCATATGACACTAGTAGCCCACATTTGTATTAAGAGAGACATGATTGATTCCCTCTTTTATTCAGATATTTGTGCAGTAGTTTAACCTGAATAATTGCTCTGTGTGAAAGAAATATATGTCTCTTTCACACAGAGTCATCAGGTGAATCCTGTAGACACAGCAGATCTACATCTACAGCAGATTGGTTTATCAGTGTTTTAACATCTAGAATTATATGAACCAAATTAACAAAATCTATTATGAATCCTGAATTTTTAACTCATATATACATGTATGTGTGTGTGTGTATTTTATTCTAACACATATATTTTAATATGTTTTTAATGGTTTTTGATTTGATTTTATAATATTGTTATAATGTTGTTTTAAATGTTTTAATTGTATATTGTGGATTGTTATGGCATCGAATGGCTGCCAAATTGTAAGCCGCCTTGAGTTGCCTTCGGACTTGAGAGAGGCGAGATAGAAATATTGTAAATAAATAAATGAATTTGAAGACACCATTGTAAGATTCATCCTAATTTCAGTACCAACAAGGGAAAAAATACATAATATGCACCCCCATTTTTGAGATAGTTGAATGGTGGGGGGAGTGCATCTTACAATTGCATAAATACAATATACTCCTTGGATTTTATGAGAAAAGATAGATATGAATATTAAAACTTCATGCTTGTGTATTCTCAGATGTTCCCCAGATTGACTGTGACATAAAAGCTGCGAAGATTATCAATCCAGAATTTATTGCAAAGTGTCCTGCAGGATGTCAAGATGTGAAATACCGAGTTTATGGCACTGACATCTATGCCTCTTTTTCCAGTATCTGTGGTGCTGCTATTCACAGGTCAGCAAGGTTGATGTTTAGTCTATGACATGGTGCAGAACGCAAGGAAAATATGTTAAACATTCAAAGGGTGTGAGAGGTGTGTGGTTCTCAAAGAAGGCAACAAGTGATTTTAGCAGTTTCCTTCCCACTGTTTTCAAAGACTTTTTACAATTCAGGATGTATTCCACACCACATTCACATATTTGCACAAAAAAACCTCAACATTTTTTTGCACAGTGACTGAGATTATGCATGATCAGACATAGCTATAGTGGAGGAGCGCTTCCATTGTAGCTACTTCTGACAATGACATCCCCAGAGAATGCCATCCCTGACCTCATAAGCCATACAGCAGCCTAACCAAAGGATTTCCAAGGTGGGTTGTTGTAGGTTTTTTGGGCTGTATCCTCTTTGAAGGTGAGAGGATCGGTATATAAAACCTCGAAATAAATAAATAAATGGCCATGTTCTAGAAGCATTCTCTCCTGACATTTCTCCTGCATCTATCGCAGGCATCCTCAGAGGTTGTGAGGATGCCTGCCATAGATGTAGGCAAACATCAGGAAAGAATGCTTCTAGAACATGGCCATACAGCTCAAAAAGCCTACAACAACCAAGTGATCCCAGCCATGAAATCCTTCGGCAATATGATTTCCAAGGTGTTGCACACCAGGGCACTGGAAAATAATGGCCTCAGACCTCTCCCAATTATGGGGAACATTGAGACCGTTAGCTGGACAGACTCCTTGTGGTTCTGCTACAACTGCTTTTCTCAGTACACCCATGATTAGGAGAGTACTGTAGATGTCATCCATATTGCCCCAACCTGCAGCACCTTGGAAACATTTTGATTAGGATGCTGTTTGGCTCAAGAGTTAGTTTAGAGAAGACATCCTCAAACTGCGGTCCTCCATCTTACAGTCTGATAAGTACTGAATTGGAAACCAGGGAACATTTTCTGTACAGAAAATATTAATAGTGCTTTAAAAAGCCCATGTGTGAGGTTTGCATGAAAGAAGTCCCAAACCTTGAAGAGTGTCATCAGTCCAGGATTCTTCACGCCAGGATTTCCAAACCTTCAAGCAGCATGTTTTTAAGCAAATTTTAAAATAAATATTCCATTTGTAAGAGGATAGGCCCATGTGATAAATTCCCTTGTTATCTTGCAATCCACTTGACTCATGCAATAACTCCATTGACTTGAAGAGACAATTGTGAATAAAGAACCACAGAATTTTTTTAGAGTAGATAAAACATGTTCAGGTGCCCCACAGAAAATATTTGGACTAGGCACAGTCCAACTCTTCAATCATCTTTCATTATATGTAAATTATCTTATCAATGGCTTTGGTGCTGCACTGTAGGATTAGTAGTGAGCAGCAAGAAGCACAAGTCATTACAGTCAAGGTGGAAAAGCCATATTTGGAATAAACCCAGTTCTATCATGGGGAGGCAAAAAGATAGAGTAAATATTTTGGAGGCATCTTTTTCTTTGTAATATCTCTTGGGTGTTTGTACCAATATGAACAGGCAATGCCGATACCAAAGAAATTACTTTTAATTTGAATGCATTACTTCTGCAGTGGCACAATTGACAAATCTGGAGGGAAAATCCTGGTTCAAAAAGTCGCTGGACAGTCTGGCTATAGAGGAAGTTTTTCCAATGGAATCCGATCACTGTCTTTACCACGATGGAGGGAGTCCTTCATTGTTTCAGGTAATGTTTGATATAAATCATTTGTATAATTTTTACTTTTACTTTATTTTTTCAATTCCACTAATCAGATGATCTGACGATAAAGATGGAGAAGGAAAAGTTGAATAATTTCTTGTACATCATTGTCTGGATGGACTTGTGCCCAATGTAAGAAAATCTTTATATATAAAATCTCAGCCTGCGTATATATGTGCTTGCAAAACTCGAAAAGTAGTCAGTCGATTGACTTGACATTTTGACACAATGTTGCATTCCAATATGCACGTATTTTAATATTAAAATGAAATTTGGACACAAAGGTGCATTCGTAAACACGTGTGTATTTAGAGTAAAACTAGTAGTCCTGGAGTAGACAAAGTGGAATCTGTGATTCCCAAAGCAACCACTCACAGTCAAGTTTTCATTTTATCTCAGCAGTAAACGAAATAACAATCTATTACAGAACAGCTATCATTTTATCTCTGCAGAAGAAGAAATAACAACCAATAACAGCACAGCTTTCCTTTCACCTCAGCAGTATAAGAAAAAACAACCAATCACACAGCAGCTGTCATTTCACCTCAGTAGTTTAAGCTGAGCTATGATTGGTAGCTATTGGCATTCGAGTACTAACAGTTTCAATATCCAATACACCTTGCGTTCACTATGACTATCAATAAAGTGTAGGGTAAACCTTTGCAAGTGTGTGGTTTGAATTTAGAAAACAATTGCTTCCTTCAGGGGCACTTATACATCACATGCTCCAAAGGCAGTAAATCATCAGATCTTGATGTTTATGCAGAAAACACACAAACCATAAATATAGTCAATCCACTAGCTTTACAATTTTAAAAAAATCCGCTAAAACCTCTTTTTCTTTCCTTTCATTCCACATAAACACTGCAACGCAAGGCGGGGTATTGAACTGCTTGATGTCTTTTCTCAGTGAATCTATGTTCACAGCAATACTTTTATTTACTATCTCATTCATTTCATATCATACTGAGCCATAGTGAAGCATGGTTGGGTTTAGTTAGTAATATCATAAAACATATTTTTAAAACTGCAATTAAATTGAGATGGATGTGGATGATGTTTAAAGAGGCAGGCTGTATTTCCAGAGTTTTGCAGCATTAGGCCAAACTGCAGGAGAATGACAAATGAGCCAACTGATTAACAATTCACATCAGAAAAGCAGAAGAAAGCAATTCGTTCCATTGTAATGCTAAGCTGCAAAACTCCAATAGTTTTTAATGAGTTGGGGAAAAAAATCACCATTATCTACACCTTTGTTTGTAATTGAATTATATATAGAATAATTGATATGAATTATGGGACGAAGAAGCTGAAAAAGTAAAAGGAATTGTCAATATAACTCTCACAATAAGTCATCTGGAAATGACATCTAATAGCAAGTCAAGTTAAGCCTAAACAGCAGAGCTGTTGTTATTGCTACTAAGCACATTATCTGCATGTCAATGGATGGAAAGTTTAAGACAAAAACTGTACCAACAAAATGCTGCCATATAACACACCATTGGGGAGTTGGTATTTGCCAGCTAAGCCAATCAGTTTACATGCAAATGCTCATACAAAAATATGCATTAGGGTTGCCAAGTTTGGAAATAGAACAATGCAAAGACTGAATAAGAAGTAACATTTACACTGTAAAATGGGACTGGAATCATGACCGCAGTAAGAGGCATGCAAATCAGGTATGCAAATTCACATTTCAGAATATTGAAACAGTCTAATGATATTGAAATAAATAATTCCATTCTAATCAATGGGTCCTCCATTCTAGTCATCTTATGAATAGCATGGTTTGTTTTGTATCTCTTGATATTTGGAGAAAGTTAGAAAGATTAAGATGGTCTATGTGTTGTTGAAGGCTTTCATGGCCCAAATCACTGGGTTGCTGTGAGTTTTCTGGACTGGTCTCTTTATTTTATTTTATTTACTTACTTCATTTCTACTCTGCCTTTCTCACCCAAATGTAAATTATTTCAGTTGTAAATTAGTTTGTTAATATTATAAATAAATAGAAAAGAAGGAACTGGAAAAGGGACAAACTGTGAGGTGACAAATGGGCATAGGTTGGTAACATTTACAGTGTTTTACATCACACACTAGTTTCTGCATCTAACAAAAAGAAAAATGTGCCGTTTTTAATATATTGTGTTCTGAAGACATTTATTTTGAAGCATGAAAAGTCATGAAAAGACAACTGCAATAACTTACAATATTGCAACATGAAATATGTGTGGTTTGTTTTATATTCAAATATAGCCATCACTATTTCCTATATATGGTTTAATTATGAACTCATTTTCCACATGAATCCTAATCTTAACCTAAAAGGGAGCCTCCTTATGCCACATAACACATGCACGTTATGTGCATTTACTGTTGTTGTTATTGTTGTTGTAAGTAATATAGTCAACAAATGATGTGTCTGAAAATGGAACTCAGTGGAAAGATGATATGAATGTTAAATTAAGGAATCGCTTATGGCATAGGATGGGGAGACTTCCCCAGCCTGCTATCCTACAGTTACACTATGAATCCCATAACTCCTGGCTAAGTAGTCAAACAAACTTAGTGGACACCATATTCAGAAAAGCTATATTATCTGCACCATTGAATTTTATCTTTGCTAATTGAGCAGAATATTGGGAATTCGGGGAAAATATTCTTGCAAGAAAACCTCTGGAAAGGCGAAGCAATGTTAAGTCATATTTTCCAGTATGGTTTTCCTCTCCCCGTTTATAAACTCGCCCACTATCCTTTTGTGCAAAGGAGTAGATCTATTTCAGTGAGAAAGCAATGTTTTTCTGTCTAGGCATAGAAAGAAAGATGGGAGAAAGAGAAGGAATCTAAGAATATCATTAAGACATATCATAAAGCTAATTTGGATGAGACTACAAAATCCAAATTAATATAAATCAGGTGGTCTTCCAGGCTTTGCTAGATTCCTCCTTCCTGTTCTTCCCTTTTATTTTTATAAGTAATAAGAACTCAGTAAGGAATAATTGAAAGCCCTTGGAAGATAGCAAAGTGCAGAGTCCAAGTCAGTTGAAGGTAGTACTTTCAACATGTGCTGCGTATATTTATTTGTCTCAATATATATGTGTGTTTTTATTGCATGGTTTCTCGTGTGTCTTTTTTGTCATGATTTTCCACAGAAGGTAAACCCAAGAAAGGTGTGCAGTATCCATCTACGCTTGAATATTCATCTTCCAAAAGCACACCTGTTAAAGGTAAGTGTCTGGTATGTAGATGATGTGTTGTGTCAACTTATACCATAAACAAAAAAAACTGCCTCATCCTAAAATGGTGAAAAGTGCCTCTCTCCCGTCCTGTCCATAAATCACCTGAATGGTATCATAAGATGTAAAGCTTGCATGCAATTTGGAAAAGGAGTTTCCTGGGTGTAACAAGAAGCATACATGCCAATGCCATTTACATCCACAGCTGTGGTGGCACACAAGATTTCTGAGCCACTAATTATTACTATGCACCTGGGGAGAAATGGTATCTCTAGGAATTTGCTAGGTCTTTCATTGTGATTATTTAGTAGGATTCCCCTGGGAGTTACCAAATAATCTTGCTGGAGGACCATGCAGATGCCCATAGAGAATACCTCTCTAGGAATCTTTATGTTCTCCAGTACATCTCTACTGTATGCTGGAACTAGAAGTAATTTATCTTAATGGCACGCCGACCCTATAATACATAATAAATATTCATAATCAATATATGGTGGGTCAAAACTCACCAATGTCTTCAATATATACTGTATATGATCCTGTGATATTAGATGCCATTTACGAGATTTGATTTTTCACATTTATGTAAATTTATTTTATATAGATGTTGCATATAATGTCATTGTATGTAAAGACAAAAAATTAAGGGCTTAATAAGTATTGAAATGCTTTTGTGACTTTTGGGCCACCCTGTATAAATAAACAAAGGGAGGGATGACATATACAGTCAGTCAAAGGAACTGTTTTGCAAGGTGCCACAATCACATGAGAATTCATAGAATTATAGAGGTGGAAGAGATCCCAAGGGTCATTCAGACAAACTCCTCTGCCATATAGCAGGGGTCCTCAAACTTTTTAAACAGAGGGCCACGTCACAGTCCCTCAAACTGTTGGAGGGCTGGATTATAATATTATAATTTGAAAAAAAAAGAATACATTCCTATGCACACTACAAATATCTTATTTGTAGTGAAAAAATGGAACCTTAAAACAATGCAATAATTAAAATGAAGAACAATTTTAATAAATATAAACTTATTAGTATTTCAACGGGAAGTGTGGGCCTGCTTTTGTCTGATGAGATAGGATTGTTGTTGTTGTGTGCTTTCAAGTCATTTCAGACTTAGGTTGACTCTGAGCGAGGGCTGGGTAAATGACATTGGAGGGCCACATTCGGCCCTTGGGCCTTAGTTTGAGGATCCCTGCCATTTAGGAACACACAATCAAAACTCTCTTGTCCAAATGGCCACCCAGACTTTGTTTAAAAATCTCCAGAGAGGCATACTTTACCATACTACAAGGAAGTGTATTCCACAGTTGAGTAGCTCTTACCATCAGGTGAAAAGCCAGTCATCCTAGAAACACCAACCTTCCTATGGTGGGACTTCATAACATAAATCTGTGAATGTGAACTATCCAACTGCTTCCATAAGGAATTTGTAAGCATAAAACTTTAAAGAGGTTTCTGACCTATTTTACTCTTATCCAGCCCACAATTTTAGCCATTTCTTCATATAGTATATTGCATGTTCTCTCAAACTGGTGAACTCTGTTTCAACACTAACACAGGAGGGTCACTACGCAAGGATTATCAAACAACAGCTGCAGCACCATTAGCGACCACACCACAAATAGCCATGACGACACCGAAGCCCCTCATCATGACAACGGCATTTGTCAGTCCAACTCCAAAGCCAACTACAATCCCAACTACAGTTACTACAACAGTAACCACCAAAATGACTACTATGGCAGCTGCAAAGCCTCAGATCGGGGTGCATAAGGTCAGAGATATAGGTGAGTAGAATGAGAAGAGAGTTGTAAAGTGCAAACATTGTAGCTGTTCCTTGTCTTTGCAGTAGGTTCTGGCTCTAGTTCTAGTCCTTCAACTCCCAGAAGTCTCATCTGGTTTTGCCAATGATCAGAGATTCCAGGAGCTGAAGACCAAAACACTTGGAAAACCAGTGTAAGAAACATTGTCTTACCAACATACTTTGAGTACAGGCTTTGAATGACAGTAGTAGGCAATCTGTGGGATTTTCAAATGAACCCCTATTTCACATTGACACAACACAAGGAGGTGGCTAAAGGAATGTGCTTGCCAGCTCTGTCCAGTATCTGTCTATCTGGATATAAATGCTATTATTAGTCCTCACTAGAATAAAGCCATTCAATCATTTTGATTGACTCACCTTCCTGATTAACTGGGCTGATAGGGTGTTATTTCTTCTGAATTTTGTGTGTATTTTAACTAAATATAGACACAGATTGTGGTACAGCTTCTTAATGTGATAACAATTGTTGGGTTATAACTAAAATACCATCCTTAATGTATCTCTCAAGTGAAACATAGAACTGGAAGAAGCCTTGGAACTGAGTAGGAAGGCAAACAGACAACAAATAATAATGTATTGTCGAAGGCTTTCATGGCTGGAATCACTCAGTTCTTGTGGGTTTTTTCGGGCTATATGGCCATGTTCTAGAGGCATTTCTCCTGACGTTTTGCCTGCATCTATGGCAAGCATCCTCAGAGGTGAGGTCACCTCTGAGGATGCTTGCCTCACCTCTGAGGATGCTTGCCATAGATGCAGGCGAAACGTCAGGAGAAATGCCTCTAGAACATGGCCATATAGCCCGAAAAAACCCACAAGAACTGAACAAATAATAACTTTGGCCCAAGAATCTACCAAGTCTCAGCACTTTTTTCAGTCCATCCTACTCAGAGCACTGGTCAAGATAGATAAAGTCTATTTTATAGAAACTGAGATTTATCAAAGGCAAAGTGTACATGAGCAATATCTAATAAATACAGGATTATCTTTATTTAAGGTCGGTGGCCAGCACAACATGCTTCCATGATGTTCTCAGATCTGGCACTATATGTCATCGTAACTGGTTGCTGGTCCTGGGCACACAGTATTGCAGCTGAAGAATTTCTAACACAAATGACAGAGCTCATCAAATGATACAGGCTGTGAGAAGATGCCACCTATTATCAAGATTGAGTTGATCAAGTTCACTAGCATACCAGCATATAGCTGAAACCTCAATTCTTATTTTACCCAACACAACAACAGATTCCCACACAAGATTAGCACTGAGTACTCTGCAATAGACAGGAATTGAACTAAGAATGGGTACCCTTAAGTCAGTACTGATTTGACCATTTTAAAACAGTGGCCTTCACGAGAAGCTTAGGAAATATACTATTTCAGACTACAACTCTCAAGCAGCCTGCTCAGCCAGCATAGCTAATGGCCTATCAAGATGGAAAAACTTGGAGTTCTTGGGCAAAACAAAAAAAAAACCAGTAATTTTTCCAAATTCAAATAGTTGCTCCACTAATTTAATGCGTTCTCAGACTTCAGCTTGATTTGAGCATTTCTTAAGGTCTTCCACTAATTTTATGTTCAGTAACTTTTTTTTTGGTGCATTTCATAATTTCTGTTTTTATGCTTGAGTTGTTTTTAGGAATATGGGGGTGGAGTTACATGTCTGGCTGGGTAAGCACAGTCCTGCAACCAGTTCTTGTGTTGAGCTAAATGTTTCTCTGAAATTTTTAGTTTCCGTTCTCTACAGTATAAAACTTCTTCATTTGTCCCTTAGGTTCTAGCAATGTTCATCCAGCCTATTCATCAGTGGCAGCTGTAGCATCAAGTAAGTCCAGAGTAAACCAAGGCAGTAATATTTAAATAATTCTTTGAGATACCTAAACCAAGCCACGCTGAAATAATTTGACTTACTTCTCAGGTATATGTAGTCAGAGAGCCAGCCTGGTGTAGTGGTTTGAGTGCTAGACACAGAGATCAGGGTTCAAGTCTCCAGTTGGCAATAGAAATCCAGTTGGGGACCTTAGACAAATTGCACATTCTCAGCCTGAGAGGACAGCAAGGACAAATGCTCTCTGAACAAATTGAGCCAAGAAAACCTGTGACGTGTTCACCTTAAAGTTGCCAGAAGTGACAACAACAACATGGTTAGAAGAATCAGAACTATAGGAATAACCTGAAATAGTTAACCCTTTAACTAAGGAGGAAGTTGTTAAACCTGAAATTATTCTTGTTTATGTAAGAGATTGTGGGGAGGACATTGAAGCATTTTTGCAAGATGGCTCGGAATCCTAGGGCAGTTCTCAACCTACATTAAACCCACTTTGAAACGGATTTAAGAAACCCACTCCGAAGGGGGTGGATGTCCACACAGCCAAGGGGGAAAAAACGGGCTTTGCCTTTTGGCTGTCTATATGCCATCCCGAATATGAGCCCTGTCTGGATGTGCCCCAAATCACTGACAGAGTTCTAGGTTTGATTGTGGCAGTTTTTCCATCTTGCAAAATGATTTCTGCATGGTTAATGGGTCCTGTGAGATATCTCTGGGGAAACGCAAAACGATGTAAAATATTTTTCAAGTATGGCATAGCCTTACAATTAACAGCCGTGGTTTGCTTGGGATGCATAAGAAAAACACTAATCTGGAAGTAATTATTAAGAACAAAACATTTTTCAATAATAGAGACATAATCTACATTATGATTGTAACTTGAAGAGGGATATTTTCACTTTGCTTGCAATGTAACTCTGGTTACTTTTCTGACACAGAAATGACCCCACAAATCAATTGTGCTTTGTTCATAACACTGGAGTTTATAAACATTCTGGTATTTTAAAGAAAATAACTTCAACATAATAATTTTAGTTATTGTAGCATAACAAGAACATTGAATGTTCCTTAAAAATTTATGATGAATTAACTGTCTTGGCAGAATTGAAACTGTAACTAAAATCAATTACCTTTTTATAGTAACTTGCCAATCTATAACAGTTTTCCAAAACTGTTATCAGTATGCATGTGCATTCAGGGGAAATCATGTCCTGTTTCGTGTTCTGGCTTTCATTGGGGACCTTCCAAAATTAGGAGAGTTTTTTTCTATGCTTTTGTTTTGGGGCCCAAAAATTAGACCATTATGGGGGGGGGCTTCCCACCTACTGGCTCCTCTTCCCAGCATGCATTCTTCTTACCTGGCATCTACTGTTTCTACTCTAAAGTAAAAGAGGCACTCAGCTGTAGGTATTGGCAGGCCTGCACGCTTTCCAGCCCTGCTTGCACGCCCCGCCACACATGCATTTCCTTGGAAAAAGTGTGTGTGTGTGTGTGTGTGTGTGTGTGTGTGTGGCAGGACATGCAGGCAGACCTGCCAATTCCTGCAGCCAAGCACCTCTTACTCTAGAGTAAGAAGCGCTCAGCTGAAGGTGCCCTACGAGCCTGTCTGCACATCACACCACACATGCCCCACCACACTCTCTGAGAGTATGTGCATGGCAGGGTGTGCAGGCAGACCTGGAGTACTGCTGTAGCGGAGCTCCAAGCCTGCCTGCCTGCACACCCCACCACACATGCGGTGTCTTTCCAAGGCAAAGAGGCAAGTTCGGATGCACACAAAAGCAGGCTTTTGTGTCGAGCAGATTTTCACGTGGGGAGAGGGCTTCCCGTTTTGTGCTTCTGAAGAAATTAAAGACATTAAAGTAATGGTAGGAATGAATTTCGTGCAGAAACCTAGTAATCAGCACCTATTGGTAATGTTGCTACCCATTGTGTCAGCAAAGTCTGATGATCAAATACCTCAGTGTACCATTTCTGGCCACTTCTAATAATGCTAATTATAAATGAATGTTTTTATTACTTTTATGATTCAAAACCGTGCTGCCCTGTACAGGAGAATTCCTCTTTAATATCTTGACCACAAACAATGGTAATTCTCTATTAGACAGGCTTGGGGAATGGGCGCCTCCCTGCTGGTTGTTGGACTGCAATTCCCATACATTTTGGCCAGTATAAGTAGTGTTGAAGGATGATGGAAGTTTCAGTCCAAGAACATCTCTAGTGATACAATTTGCTCAGCCCTACTGTAGAATTATGGTTCCCAGGTTTCTCTTAAAAGAAGTAATGCTTGTTAAATTTAATTTTGTAGTCTGGCAAATTCCTAAGCTTATTAACATTTTATAAATTTGTTTTCCAAATATAAACTTAAAGTCCAGGCTTTAAAAAGCACTGCATAAAATTGTTAAAGGATTATGACAAGCATTTTTAACACTAACAACTATAAAACTAATCTTATTCATTAAAGAAATAGCTTATCAGATTAGTTTTGGTAATTGCAGATAATACATTCAATTTTAATGCATTCTTTAGGGCAGGTTCAGGCTGTCCAAGGAAGAACCCAGAATCAAGGTATGTCCTAACTGAAACTAATGCAGACTAAGTAGATTTTCAAACAAAAACTATTTTCAGATTTATGTACTGACCAATAAAATGTTTTTTAAAGCACTCAGAGGCACTTCCAGCTATGCAAGTAACAGAAATATCCCTCGACCTAATACAGGTAAAGCTTTTATATGACTTTTTAATTTTCTCTGTAATTACTCTGACTTCTAGAAGTAAAATCGACAGCCAACTTTAAACATGTTTATGTGGAAGCAAGTTTCCTAAGTTAGCTAATACTTCCTTTAAAAAAAGATACGAATGAAAAGGAATGAGAACAAGTGAGCCAAAGTTCAGCAGTTTTAATTCCCATGTTGATTTTAGTAAAATAACTCAAAATCTACACTTAGCTTTTCCACTGAAATAAGTGAAATTAGAATAACAGTTAGCTTTGGATGGACTGTACCCATTCTAAGCACTTTTGTAGTCATTTACTGATTATGATTTGTAGTAGTTACAAACAACTTAAACCAAAGCTTTTGGTCTAATCTGAAATGCATTAACAAAGGATACAGCAAATAAGTCTGTTTGATAAAATGATGTACAGGCTACAACCTATTGGTTGGGTTTTGTTTTGTTTTTTTTCAAGATTTGATAGCGTTACAAATAAATGGCCACGCAGTAAGCTTGAGGCTGAGGCTGAAATCTTCTGGTATATCATGACTTAATTTCCTTGTCCTCCATTGTAAAACTGCCATTTCTCTGGTAATGAATTTGAGCTATTTATTTCCATTAACAACATAACCTGGGGTGCAGGCAACTTTATTTATTTATTTATTTATTTTGTTTGTTTGTTTGTTTACTTACTTACCCTATTTATGCCCCATCTTTCTGTACCCGAAGGGGACTCAAGGCGGCTTAGATATAGGCAATTATTAAATGCCTTAGAACACATACAATTCCAATAAACATTAAAATTGAAATTAAAGACATATTAAACATTTAAAAGAATAACATTCAATATTAAAATTTAAGAGGCTTACCCTGGGTTTAATAGCATCAGCTTATATGCTTTGTGTGAATGCATGCAGGCTAATGCAACTCTACACTGCATTTTTGGCATTGTAGATGAAACCCCATGTGGTAAATTGGATGAATTAAAAAAAGACACACTGAAGGTATATTTAGAGCTGGCATAAATGCATATTTTGGAGACCAAAAGTACAATAGGGGTTATATGGGTTAGGAAACTTCAGGAACTCCTAATGTTGTTGAACTACAGCTAATGGTCCCAGCTCAGTCCCAACTGATGCTAAGGACTGAGGAGGCTGCACTCCAACATCTGATGCTCCTCATCCCTACACAACTTAATATATACAAATTCTTTATGTAACTATCATGCATTCCTTTTTTCATATTTTTTCTCTTTTCCACTGCTGTTCCTTCTAGACCAGTGGTGTTCTAGAGATTTTGGATCAAGGTAGTAGCAACATGATACTGGAAAAGAGAGCCACAAAGCCTACCATCACTTCCCTTTGCATGATGCAAATTACATTAAGTGTCATGATGACATCCTGGAAAATCCTAGGATCTGCCATTTAAGGACTCTGTTGAAATCTGGTTTTAGAGCATGTTAGATTTCCCATCCATTAAACTTTAGTATATGAAATGAGAAGGGCGCCATCTTTATCTCAAGTAAGAAAGGATCTTGAGCTTCTCCCCTCTGGGCTACAGATACTGCTTTAAAAAAAATGGAATAGCCAGAAGTCCAGTTCTAGTTTTGAAAAATACGTATTATTATATTATAATATGGGTGGGTTCTTACTGTATTAAGCTGGGTCTTTTTTTTTTCTTTTTACAAACCTGACAGGTCTTCAAAGGCAAGAGCCAATTGCTGCATTCCGAAAGCCTCCCAACAATCCTACAAACCTGGGTAAGCTCTTTGTCAGCCAATAAAGGGGAAGAAGTAGTGCTTAAAACAGCTCATTTTATTTTCCTTTCCAAATATTTGGATTTATCAACTTTTTTTTTCTATTTCGCCTTGCTCATGTGCCAATTCATCATTTTGAGTATTGCAGGGTTTTTTTTTACATTATTTCCTGAATGAATCAGAAATTGTTTGGAGATCACAAAAATAGAGAAATACCTATAATCTGACACTGTTTGGAGATGCAATCGTCACTGCCAGCTCTTTCATGGCTCTAAGTTAGTGGTTCCCAACCTGTGATCCTTGGACCACCAATGGTCTGCAAGAACGAAAATATGGTCCGCAGCCTCACCATTAGTATATCATTACCTCGAAACCACATGGCAATGAAAGTTACTGGTCTCGGGGAACCTTTTTATAGTGCCAAGGCAACAGCAATGTCGGGAAGGGAGAGGCCGGCTACCCACAAAAGAATACTACTACCGCATCAGCTCTAGATTAATAAATATGGTTTTATGTATTGTCGAAGGCTTTCATGGCCAGAATCACTGGGTTATTGTAGTTTTTTCAGGCTATATGGCCATGGTCTAGAGGCATTCTCTCCTGACGTTTCGGCTGCATCTATGGCAACCATCCTCACTACCTCTGAGGATGCTTGCCATAGATGCAGGCGAAACATCAGGAGAGAATGCCTCTAGACTATGGCCATATAGCCCGAAAAAACTACAACAACCCAAACATGGTTTTCTGTGGGCGAGAAGATGGCAAATACTGGATGGCATATGTTCTGTATTAGAAACTAGAGTTGATGTCATCTATCCAATACAATTTTCTGAATCAGCACCCCAAGTAACCAAACTGAATCTAAAGTTCTCTAAAACCTGATTTGTAACCCTTTTGGTACTAATGTTGGAGAGTGATTCCTGGTCAATAAAAGGTTGAAAACCACTGCTCTAAGACAAGGGTGAAAATCCTATAAGCCAAAATAGCCATATGCCAAACTTCTCTTGTGCGTGGGTAACCAAAGGAGGACACTATCTCTGAGAACGGTTCTGTCAGAACATATAGTTATAAATAAAAATGTAATGTTCGTTTGTAGGATTAACATAACTCAAAAAACACTGGACGAATTGACACCAAATTTGGACACAAGACACCTATCAGGCCAATGAGTGACCATCACTCATAAAAACACTTAAAACTCAGCGGAAGGGACTTTAAAGGCCGAAAAACAAAAAATACATTACAACACATGCACAAAACCACATATATATGCAAAAACAATGAGTCGCCGATAGGCTGAGAAAGGCGGTATACAAATATAGTAAATAAATAAATATACAGATATACACAAATATATACACACACATCTACACATAATACATATGTGTATAACACACACACACATACACATAACGTAAACACACAAAACACATATACATAGACTGGGCCACAGCAACGCGTAGCAGGAGACAGCTAGTACTCAATAAAATACACTGTTTATATTAAAGTGAAAGCTGTTGTTTAACTGTATAAAGAGTGTAATTTGAAACAAACTGGACAGGTCCCTGTTGATATATGAAGGTGCTATGAATTTAATAGAGTTTTCTTAGACAAAGAATACTCAGATGTAGTTTTGCAAGTTCCTTCCTCTGAAATCTAGCACCTGGTATTCACTGGTGGTCTTCCATCCAAGTACTAACTAGGGCTGACCCTACCTAGTTTCCAAAATCAGACAAGATTTAGTGAATAGAATATTTTTAGAATATTTTCCAGGATATAAATGATGGCACTATATTTTGGCTGTTTGGGTGTGTATATGTAACTTCCTATGGTCGTAATGTTAACTCAGAATAAAGAGCTTTTTACAAGAAAGGCAAATTCCTCAGTTTTGCAGAAATTAATATGATGAAGGCTTTAAAAAATCTTTTTCATTTGAATGATTTGGGATACACATTTAGCAATTTTTACCAAAATATGGAGATCTGCAGTATCTATATTAAACAGATTCACCCACACATTTGCTCCATCAGTTCACCAGAGGACTTTCTATTCATAGTTTTGGTCAGGCTCCTTTTCACTGCTGTTATGCAGTGAAAGTATTGTTATAGATATCTGTGTTTCTTTGATGTTATACAGTGAAACCCATAATTTTCTCCAAGTAAGCTCCCCAAAAGGTGAGAACCAATTATCCATGTGCCTATTTCTATTTACCTCAACTCTTTCATTTTTCGTGTGTGTGCGTGCGCACGTGCATCCTTGGTCCCTTTTCAAATCCAAACGATTGTAAGGCACATTTACATTGACCACTTAGGTCAATGAGAGGGTGGGTCAGCCTCGCAGGAGCTAAATGCCACACAGACGCTAATCTGTATCAATGCAGGGAAAACGGCTTAATGCCACAATATGAGAAGGAGGAGGTTGTTTCTTAGGGCCCATGCCTAGCATTTTCAAATGTTGTCCAGCACATTTAGGTGGAGAGGATTCCCTGCCACCTCAGTGGCTGCCTAGGGATTCCCTATCAGGCTGCCAGGCAAGCTCAATCCAGCATTTGGGATGTTGGATCAAGTCTGCTTCAATTGTATGTGTAGAAATGCCACTAGATCTGCAAACTGGAATTATTGTTCAGTTATTTCTTATGTATGTCTGGTATTGAATAGCTGCCATTTTTGTTGTGACCCGTCCCGAGTCCCTGGCAGAGAGATGGGATGAGAAGGGATATAAATAAATCTGTATTATTATTATTATTATTATTATTATTATTATTATTATTATTATTATTATTATTGGAGCCATGGTGATGCAATGGATTAAATCCTTGTGCCGGCTGAACTTCTGACCTGAAGGTAAAACATCCAGCCATCCCCTGGGCAACATCCTTGCAGATAGACAATTCTCTCACACCACAAGTGATTTGCAATTTCCAAAGTTGCTTCTGACACGAAAAATATTATTATTATTATTATTATTATTATTATTATTATTATTATTATTATTATTATGTGGTACAGAAGTATCCCTGTGCCAGCATGTACATGTATGCATATACACCATTAAATCTTTGTGGTCCAACTAATATCCATAATAGTTGTGTGAGTTTAAATACTTCTTTGCTATAATTTCAGGGACATGGCAACATAAGATGCTAATGGAGACAGACTTAGGATTTCATTCCACATATCACATGTAACTAATATCTGTGCCAAGACTGGAATCTCTGGCTAGTTATGAAGGCAATTCACTATATCATTCTCTAGGAAATGTCAAAAGGATGGATAAGATAAAGAAGGAGAAGAGAAGGAATGGCTCCCAAGGTCTTGTCTTCCACATGGTTTTGCTTTCCGTTCCCAGGAGGCCAATCTGGCCAATGGTCTGGGATTCTGGCAGCTGAAATCCAAAACATTGGATGTTTCTCTTGAGAGTCACTGGCCAAAAAAAAATTAGTGGAAACAGTTGTGTTCATTGATTGCAGAAATGCATTGTGTTTGCTTTGGATGGTTTGTATCTTGCATGTCCCCTTGGGAAAATTCAATCCATAAATATAATCTGAGATGAATTAAAATTAACAAATAGCATGAAGGAAGCTATTCAGATCTCTCCTTCATCCCAACTCACATCAGCAGTTACTGTCTATGAAACAGGTCACAATAAATATATATTTCATTTAAAGCAGGCTTTGTTGCATATGCTGTAATTACAACGCCTCTTACAAGGAAGTTGACACAGATACCAGTAATTTATTTTACAAAGTGCTTTTTCTTATCCTGTGTTATATGTTCTGTAAACTTTAATTGTTTTCTGTGGTTTGAAATAATTGCTGTTTTGCCTCTTTTGTGGGAAAGCTATGGAAAGAGACTTATGGAAGCCTGCATCAAGCCTTTTGGACACAGGTAAAGATCTAACACAACATTACTGTAACCCATCAACCTTTTAGAAAGAATGTACAAGACCATTATTGTCTGGAAAACATCTTCCTTCCATATTCAGGAAACTTACCTGTATAATCATTGCAAATTATAAACATTCACGTTTTCTTGAAATATTGAGTCATTGTCTTTAGCATGTGCCAACTGGGAACCAGCAGGAGAGAAATAGGACTCTGTGTGTGTTCTACATTTTAGTCTCTATTAAGCAGTGGCAAGAGAGACAATTTGTTCCCATAATTAGGTAGTGCAATAAAAAGTGACCTTAAAAAAACTTGAGAGCTTAAGAAAAACAGATTCATATATGAAGAGGTTGCTAACAGTAGCTAAAACATGAGGAGTGGCTAAAACATGATGAAAACATTGGTTTTGCTGGATTTTCCATAGTTGAGTGTGGAGATGAGATCATCCTGCCAATACAAGGTCAAATGAGTAATTTAATCATAAGCGATGTGTACTTACTTACTTAGACTATCCCTCATTGTCCAAGTATGATGGTCTTCCAAGTGTAGTGTCTTGGGAGTGGATAAGTAGGTGACTGTGGAGCCCTATGCTTGACCCGCATGTTCTTCCACAATGAGGGCATCAGTTTCCAGGTGGAAGGCAGTCCCAGTCAGGGTTGGCTTGATGCATTTTCCTCTTGGCACGTTTCTCTCTTTTGCCCTCCATTCATGCCTCAGCTGACTTCCAATTAGAGAGCTCAAAGGCCAGGCCTTTCCAGTTCTCAGTGTCTATGCCACAGTTTTTAAGGGTAGCTTTAAGACCATCTTTAAATCTCTTTTCCTGTCCACCAACATTTCGTTTTTCATTCTTGAGCTTGGTGTATAGTAACTGCTTTGGAAGATGGTTATCGGGCATTCGGTCAAAGTGCCCAGTCCAGCGGAGTTGATGGTGTAGGAGCATCACTTCAATGCTGGTGGTCTTTGCTTCTTCCAGTCTTAGTACTCCTAGATCCCATATGTAATCCCTTGGTATAAACTGAACATAAGTCAGTAGTATGATGCAGGAGCTAAAAAAGCTAACGTGATTCTAGATTGCATCTAGAAGATTGTAGTGTCTCTAGATCAAGGAAAATACAAGTGCTACTCTATTCTGCTCTGATCAGATCTCACCTGGAATACTGTATCCAACTCCAAGTATCACAATTCAAGAGGAATTTTGATAAGCAGAAGCATATACAGAGGAAGGAGGCCAAAATGGTAAAAGGTCTGGAAACTGCCCTGTGAGAAGCAGCTTAAGGAGCTGGATATATTTAAAATATTTGATAGGGTGCCACATGGAAGATGGGGCCAGCTTGTTTTATTTTGCTCCAGAGACTTAAGACAAGGAGCAATAGATTCAAACTAAAAAAGAGATACCACCTAAACATTCTCAAAAACACTTAGAGCTATTTGATGGTGAATGTGCTGTTTCCGAGTGTGATAGACTCTCATATGAAGGCTTTGTAACCAACACTAGATGGCCATCTATCAGAAGTGCTTGGAGTGTATATTTCTGCATGGTGAGGGCTGGTCTGGCTAGTCCTGGGGGTCTCTTCCAACACTATGATTCTGTGATTTTAAAAATAATGGAATAAACCCTTAGGTTGTAGTCTGAAGCATTGTTCATGGGCAAAATTACTTATTGCAGATTCTTGATAGGTAAAACTCAAAGTAAAGGAGGAATGACTGCTTCCCAAGTAAACAGAACTCTGTAAAAGGTCCAATGATAACATTTGATGCATACAGAATTCAATTCAAAGAGAATTAGTTTTAGTGTGTATGTGACTACTCTTGTCTGAATGGAAATTTAATGAGCCTGGACAGCTGTGACAATCTGGTGCTGAAAAAGCTTCATTAGTTTGCAGGAACGTACCAAGACAGTAAGCTAGTATTCTCATGACTGACAATATAGTCTGAAAACAGGCCTGGGAACCCATTCGGGAACCCTGGAAGCAACTGCCATTTCAATTAGCTCTGAGTGATACACGTTGGGTGGCCTTCTCATTTCTATTCATTTATTTTAGATATTGATATTCGGCTTGTCAAGTCAACATTCTCCAGGGTAGCTACAATACCACTAAGGTCAGAAGTTGGAAAAATTACTTTTGAAGATAAGAACACTGACAGTTATAATTTTTTTAAAAATAACCTTTCCCAAGGTCTGGCTGATGACAAATCTGCCAGAAGTATTTTCATTCATGTAAACATAAATGTCCCATAGACTACATTATTCAGGTTCAAAAATGAAATATGTGTTGAATATTCCTTATCTGAAATGCTTGGGACCAGAAGTGTTTTGGACTTCCCCCCCCCCCCCCCCCCAGATTTTGAATATTTGCATATATATGTGATGAGACATCTTGAAATGGGATCCAAGTCTAAACATGAAACAAAATTAATGTACATGGAACCATAAAAAAAAAACAAAGACATCATTATCTCAACCACACATATGGACAAATTTGGACTATGGGGCATTTCAGATTTCTAGATAAAGGATACTCAACTTGCACTAATTTGAACTAGGAAGAGTAAACTGTGGTTTTGGAAAATTAGGTCCAGTCAAATATAATGTTCCTTTTAAAAAGGATTGGAAATTACATTACCAGAGATTGTGGGGCCAGTACAGAGTCACAGTGAAGGAACTTTAGATCTAGAAAGTCCAAAGATCTCTGGATTGCCAGAATTGATCTTAAGGAGTGTAAGGAAACTTCATAATCCTCTTCAAATGCCTTCCACCTAGAATAACGCAGGTCTGTAAAGATCTATATATCTTCTGCTCTCTTTCTTTCTTTCCTTTCATCAGCTCATGTCCTTTGTGTTCAATAAATGAATTATTTCTCATTTCAGGTTTCAGCTCCAAGGAAGACTTGGTTCCCAAAACTTTGGAACCAGCATCCCATGGAAACCCAAGTAAGTGAATCAGGAATGCATTGACAACCCATGTTCTCAATTTCAATGTTCCAGTCACTGAAAGGAATGGAGAATTAATCCCCCACACTTTTGGAGTGGAGTCTCACTTTCGGAGTGGAGTCTCTGTTGTGGTTCCTGAGAGAAGGAAAAAGAGTAGTGAGGAAGCTTCAAGTTATCTTGCAGCATTTATAGCAATTTATAGCAGGGTAATGGCATTCCATGCAGTCATGCCGGCCATATAACCTTGGAGGTGTCTACAGACAACGTCGGCTCTTTGGCTTAGAAATGGAGAGGAGCACCAACCCACAGAGTCAGACACAACTGGACTTAATGGCAGGGAAAACCTTTACCTTTATAGCAATTTCATCAAAACTGCAATTGGAGTCCATATTTGGAAATTGGGCTAGGGACGTATGGAGAAAATACTGTTTTCACCTGCGTCCAGTCTGTGCAAACTGTTGAAAAAAGCAAGATCTCTTCCTCCAGAAATGCTCACTTGTTACCAGATGGGATATTTTGGAAATGAGTTTTCAACTCATGGAGATCTCTTCAGTTAACAGAGAGGGGAAAGAAGATGAAGGAACCTAGGTAGGTTATTTCATCAAGAAAGATTCAGATTTCAGAATGTTACATAGATAATTGGCCAGAGATCTCTTTTATGTCTTTGCTCATGATTTGCTCCAGAGTCTAGGATAAGCTTGTACTTAGAACACTGTACAGTGTTCTAAAAACATTCTACTRTTCTGGTGGGAAAGCTATGTGCTCCCACTCCCATCMAGGCAATCTCACCTGTTTAAACACACACACAAACACTGTATTATTTGTCCTAGAATTTGAAAAGTCATCCTTCTCTATAGGAATAAAATATTTCTGTTTGTCATGAAACTTACATCTGGAAAAAAAGGTCATGTGAAGATATTTTAAAAAGAGGGGACTTGAATTTAAAAGCTTTGAGATGGTTGAACAGAAGCTCTCTGAGGCTTTAGGCTCTTTTACTGCCTATTACAGGGGAAACCAGCAGATTCCTAATCCATCTAAAATACAGACATGTACTTTTCATCTTAAGAACAGACAAGCATCCCGAGCTCTGATGACCTGGGAAGGAATCCCACTGGAGCATTGCAGTGCACCCAAATACCTGGGAGTTACCCTGGACCATGCTCTGACCTACAAGAAGCACTGCCTGAATATCAAGCAAAACGTGGGTGCTAGAAACTTGTGTGACAAATAAAGAGTTGGACGTCCTGTGACAGCAACCACCAAGTTTCACAAACAAAAGGTTGACAGATTGATTCAGGACGATRGTCGTATCACTCAGAGAGAAATTTCAAGCATAATCAGCATTTCACAGGAACGTGTGGGTCACATTATTGCTTTGTTTGSCTATCGGAAGATCTGTGCATGATGGGTACCCAGGATGCTGATGCCTGAAATGAAAGYGCACAGATTTGAAACTTCAGAGACTGGATCTCACCACCATAYGACATCCTCCATACAGTCCAGATTTAGCACCATCTGACTTCCATCTGTTCCCAATAATGAAAGAAGATCTGCGGGGACATCATTATGCTTCTGATGAAGATGTTGACAGAACTGTGAGACGCTGGTTGCGGAAACAGTGTCGACTTCTTTCCGTGATGGCTTCAGAAAACTTGTTCATCGCTGGCAGAAATGTATCCAATTGTCTGTTGATTATGTGGAAAAGTGAATAGGGTTGTTAAAGAGCACATTCTAAGGATTATTTCTGCGTTTGATTTATTAAAATATTCCCATCCAAACCCAAGTAATGAAGGTGGAGACATTACTTTTCATTCAACACTCATCGTGGACTGAAGGGTTCTATGACAAGCCCAGATATGCTTAAAGGGATTGAAGATTTTTTAAAAGCTTGTGCAAATTAGTAATAATAGCAAGCCCAAATATTGCATTTACTGAAAAAGCACTTAGGGGTTAAAATTTGCTCTCCGGTTGGAAAACTAAAACACACTGCAAACAGGGCCACTCATGTGTTTTATAAAAGAACAGAGGAAATACTTTACTTGTTTGTTGGTATCAGTGAAATCCACCTTCATTGGCATGTCTGCTTGGTTGGGGCAGTTTCAAAGAGATTGTGGTAACCATAGTGGAAAGGAAAAAAACATTAATTACCATTTAGGTTTATACAAAGGCTGGTTCCTTTCCCATTATATAAGTATTTTCTCAGAAGGTTACAGAAAAATATGGCACTAGTTAGAAGAATCTGTTTGGGGCTTAGCATAAATTAAAGAGTAAAAGTTGTTTTTACATTGGGTGTTTGCCCAGAATTCTGTGAGTCAAAAGAGTAAATCAGTAAGATGTGTATTTAAGAGATAATCAAGTTTGTTAAAAAAAAAACTCACACTGAAGAGACAGGTCGAAAACCACAACAGGGGTTATAATTCTCTATTTTGGCAAAATAGCAATCCTACTTGCAGGGAATTTTTTAAGCTGATAAAATAACATTTTAAAAATAACTCACTGCATGAATAAGAATGCAAGATAATTAAAAGATACAGTAAGATGTAGGGAGTCAAGAGAGACTATTGATAAGGTAAACCTGTAATTCATGAAGCAGGCACCAAGGATATTACTTTCATATCACTGACTGCTGCTACTGTGTCCAAATATCCATGTAAAATACAACCTTATGTCTACTGTGAAGTGAGTCACAATGATGTCGATTAGATCTTCTTCCAGATCCTATGTATAGGTTTCCCCTTGACATTAAGTCTAGTCATATCTGACTCTGGGGGGTGGTGCTCATCTCAATTTCTAAGCTGAAGAGCTGGTGTTGTCCGTAGATACCTCCAAGGTCATGTGGCCAGCATGAATGCATGGAGTGCTGTTACCTCCCCACCAAAGCGGTACCTATTGATCTACTCACATTTGCATGTTTTTGAACTTCTGGGATGGCAGAAGCTGGGGCTAACAGTGGGAGCTCATTCCACTCCCTGGATTCGAACCACCAACTTTTCAGTCAGCAAGTTCAGCAGCGCCATCAGAGACTCATGTGTATACATATGCCTAAACATGGAATTTCTTCCTAATTGAGATGGGCACAGTAGGTTCTAAAGGTTATTCCTTTCTATGAGATATTGCTGTCAATGGCAAGTGTTTTGTAAATCCTTGATAAAGTCTAAGAATGGCTCAGTAGATGCTCCGATATTCACCTGTAAAATAAATATTGTAATTTCATGAAGGGAAGGCGTGTATTACAGCAATAATAACAACAATAACAATTACTACTACTGCTACTACAACTACTACAGGTTATAAAGTTCTAATTTTATTTTTATTTCATTTTTCAGATTGCAAAGTTGATGTGTGCTTCTTGATAGATGGGAGCTGGAGCATTGGCAAGCGTCGCTTTCAGATTCAAAAACATTTCCTCAAAGATGTAGCTCAATCCCTGGATGTTGGTGTAGCTGGCCCTCTCATGGGCATCATTCAATATGGGTAAGAAAAAATAATATCTGCTCTCTCTCTGAATCTTAGTAATGGAGTTACAAGGACTTCCCAGACACATGTACACATATTTTGCAGCCCTAACTAAAATTGAATTATAAAAGAAATACCTATAAAACACTAACATTCATTTTGATGCCTTAAATACTAATCCTTTTTCTAGATATATTTGGTGTGCTGGCTCCAAAATTGGCACCAGTTTTGCCCTATCAGCTCTAGTTTTTGAGATACAGAACGTATAGCATATTACTTATTTACATAGGCAATCCCTCGTTGTCTGAGTATGATGGACTTCCAAGTGTCAACTTGGAAGCTGCCTGTGCATGAGGTTTTTTAATGTGTAGAGGTCGGTGCACAGTCTTCACAAAATGAGGGTCCCAACCAGTGGCATGGCTAACATGACGACGATGGGTTCTCAATCTGTTGCAGCCTTCTTCACAGCAGTTGTAACATGTACCATGTTGTCTCCCATCTGATCTGCCATTGAGTCTTCAAATTGTGCTTGGTCTGGAAGCTTCCCTGCGGCTCCTCCCGGGAGTACATGACTCCGAAAGTTATGGAACACACATATACAAGTCTTCGTCTGCTTGCCCATAGACAATCATGATAACTATATCTAAGAAACTGGAATTGATAAAGTCTATCCAATGCAATTTTCTGAATCAAATTCCCAAATAATCCCAGGAACAAGCCTAATAACCAAGACACCAAGGAAAAATCTTTTTTGTTGTTGGGCTGTACATCAAAGCACATGTTGGTATATTAATATCGCAATGTTCTTAATATTATAGTTGTGACCTTATATTCCTAGTGCAGTTTGTTACATTATCTTTTAAATATGCTAAATTTTACTGTACAGATTTCTATTCTGTTAAACTTGTGTACACAGTTTTATTTTTTATGTATTTTGCATTCCAATTTTTTGTGGCAATCTAACTGGACCGTAAATGTGAGCAAGTCTATGCGGCAAGCTTTTGCCATAGGTCTCACTTGTGCCATTATTCCTCACCATGATGGCCTATGAGTACCTCTTTATATACACCTAACCATCCCTCTGATAGAAAAAGAAAAATATGGTGCAGCCACAGAGGCTTCCCTTCTGGGAAAGCAACAAGTGCATAGTGCTGCCACCATAGACAATTGCAAAGTGGAAGATGACAGTATGGATTATGGTTTAATGATAAGTTTCATTCATGGATCACCTGTTACTTAAAAGAAACATACATGATATGAAACTTCTAGCGGGAGTACTAAATGAATTGGTAATTATGTTTCTGGTGCTTGACAAAATATCAGTTAACTGTGTAATGCCAAAAGTGAAACCATGGGCCACCATCCCACCAAGACAGTAGTAGAATCATAGAATCATCGAGCTGGAAGAGACCTTGTGGGCCATCCAGTCCAACTCCCCGCCAAGAAGCAGGAAAATTTCATTCAAAGCACCCCTGGCAGATGGCCATCCAACCTCTGCTTAAAAGCCTCCACAGAAGGAGCTTCCACCACACTCTGGGGCAGAGAGTTCCACTGCTGAACAGCTCTCACAGTTAGGAAGTTCTTCCTCATGTTCAGATGGAATCTCCTTCCCCATAATTTGAACCCATTGCTCCAAGTCCTAATCTCCATGGCAGCAGAAAACAAGCTTGCTCCCTCCTCCCTATGACTTCCCCTCCCATATTCATACATGGCCCTCATCATGTCTCCTCTCAGTCTTCTCTTCTGCAGGCTAAACATGCCGAGCTCTTTAAGCTGTTCCTCATAGGGCTTGTTCTCCAGACCCTTGGACCATTTTAGTCGCCCTCCTCTGGACACATTCCAGCTTGTCAACATCTCTCTTAAACTGCGGTGCACAGAATTGGACACAATATTCCTGGTGTGGCCTGACCAAGGCAGAATAGAGGGGTAGCATAACTTCCCTGGATCTAGACATTGGCCTCATGTAAGCCGCACCGAGTCCCTTGGGGAGATGGTAGCGGGGTACAAATAAAATTATTATTATTATTATTATTATTATTATTATTATTAATAATAATAATAATAATAATAATAATATTAGACATTAGACTCCTATTTATGTAGGCCAAAATCCCATCAGCTTCCAGAGTGGGGAAGCCAATGGTAGTATTAGGTCCTTAGACATTTCTGTGCACATAGAGGAATTTCCCATGTACATAATGGGAGTAAATGGTAACATTTAAAAAGTAATTTATATTTCAAGTACTGCTAAATAAGAAGACTGTTCTGTTTTCATTTTGAATATATAGTGATGACCCTTCTACTGAATTTAACTTGAAGACTTATTCAAACTCAAAGGACCTGAAAAATGCTATTGAGAAAATACTTCAGAAAGGAGGACTCTCCAATGTTGGTATGTAGGTTACCCAAAACATTCACAGCTAACTGGTTTACGAATTAGAAGACAGGGCCCATAAGTATGCCAGATATTTTACAATGTTTGGTCCAGTACCCCTAAAACCATTTGTGTTCATTTTCCCTACTCTGGAAGGAAATGTGCTTTGTTCAGGAAATCAAGATTTAATCTCTGAATGAAATATCACATTGAAACACATAGTTTGTCCAATTCCACGATATAAGTACAGCAATAGTGAATTGTGACAGTTAGCTACTAGCATGGGGTTAGAAAAAGAAACTAAAATTGCTAAACCATCTGTCCATGTATCACCCAGTTGCCTGTCAATGTATAGCAACCCCATACATATCCTAGGCAAGGAATATTCAGAGGTAGCTTGCCATTTCCCTCCTCTGAAATTTACTCTGCAGCATCTGGCATTGCTTGGGGGTTCCTTCATCCAAATAATGACCGGGCTTGAGCCTGTTGAGTTGCCAAGATCTGATGGGAGTTATAATGTGCTTTAAGGTTTTGTATGCTGTGTTAAGTACAAAATGTTCAACTAAGAGTACATCAACAATTGTAGAATGAATGTAGTTTGACACCACTTTGAGTGCCATGGCTCAATGCTATGGAATCATGGGAAGTATAATTTTGCAAAGTCTTCAGCCTTCTCTGCCAAAGAGTGCTTGAGCCTCAGCAAACTTCACCTCCCAAGATTCCCTAGCATTGAGGCATGGCATTTAAAGTGAGATCGAACTACATTCATTCTACAGTGTAAGTGCATCCTAAACCAGTATTTTGTCTCATTGTTGGTGTCATTGAATTCATTTGTTCAAAAGTAATAGCAAATACACACACACAGTAGAGTCTCACTTATTCAACATAAATAGGCCAGCAGAAAGTTGGATGAGCGAAAATGTTGGATAATAAGGAGGGATTAAGGAAAAGCCTATTAAACATCAAATTACATTATAATTTTACAAATTTAGCACCAAAACATCATGTTTTACAACAAATCAACAGAAAAAGCAGTTCAATACACTGTAATGTTATTTAGTAATTACTGTATTTACGAATTTAACACCAAAACATCGCAATATACTGAAACAGCTGTGGATCTGGGCAGGAGGCAGCGTTGGATAATACAGAACGTTGGATGAGCAAAGGTTGGATAAGCGAGACTCTACTGTATATATTTAAACTACTTAATTGGTTCCAATGGAGGTGGTGGATTTAGGATCAATATGGCACAGGAAAACTTGGGAACCTTGGAACAAAGCTTTGGACTTCTACCACATGTGTATATAATTAGATCTGGACTATTAACATTTTTTTTAAATAGCATTTTAATATTGATTTTGTCACTGGCCATCAGTACAGATTGTCCTTATGTGCACTATTCTGCAAAAAAAAAGTGTGCAGTTCTTATAGGATCTAACATTTTCTGAGTCAGAGTGACAAGACTTCTTGCCCTTTGCTTTGTGTTTTCTCTTACAGGGAAAGCACTGTCCTTTGTTAACAAGAACTTCTTTGAGGATTCAAATGGAAATCGAGGCGCTGCACCCAATGTTGCCATAGTCTTGGTGGACGGATGGCCCACTGATAAGGTGGAAGAGGCCTCAAGGCTGGCAAGAGAATCTGGCATTAACATTTTCTTTGTCACCATTGAAGGACCAGATGAAAATGAAAAGCAGAATGTTGTTGAAGCCAACTTTGTGGATAAGGTAAAGGAGCTTGTGATATTCCAGAAGAGAGATAGGATGTAGKCTCTAATGCAATAAGYCTCTCTATTTGGACAGGAAAGGTGGGATTTGATCTTCTATCTGATTAATACATAAATCTTGTTTAAATGAGAGCAAAATGGCTACCGTTTTTCAGATTGTCTCTTGCTACTTAYAGGCGCAGTATTGAAACTGATGAGTTTTATAAGTTCAAGTATTTATCTATGTATGCTGAGTGCCAAAAGATTTGCCCTTGCATAAATAACTGAGGAAGAGACAAAAATCAAATAAGCAGGATGATGATGATGATGATGATGATGATGATGATTTATTTATAGCCCATCCTATCTCTCCAGAGGGACTCAAGGCAGCTTACAACAAAATAAACATTTGATACTGAGAATAACATATAACAGATTATAAACAAACTCAATAAATATTATAAAAGCAAATTAAATAAACAAGACATAGTACAATCCGCACAATTACAACATATTAAAACCTTAACATCTCATAAAAAATTAACAAAATTATTGGAGTGAAGATGGTAAACAGCAAATTAACAAAGGTAGATGTTCAGCAACTAAGCAGGGATGCATATAAGGTGTAATTAGTCCTCCTCCTCCTCCTCCTCCTCCTCCTCCTCTTCCTCCTCCTCCTTTCCATAGGCTAATTTTAAAGGAGAGGGGACCAATTTTAATTCTTTTGAGAGGGAATTCCAGAAGTGAGGAGTGATTACGGAGAAGACCCTCTCTCTCGTCCTCATCAGCTGTGCTTGAAAGAAAGGTCACATTGGCATCAGTGTGAGCTTGTGAAGCCATTGTGAACTGTCCACAGTAAGGAGACTCCAATAGGGGCTGTAAGTGCAAAGGGTGGTTGCCCCCTCCTTCTCTCTCAGCCCAGGTCTACATGGCCAAAATAATGTGGAATCACTTCATAGCAGCTACAGTGCGTCCACATGGGTTCATGTTCTGAATTTGTAGCAGTTGTTAATCTGTGACAGAACTGAGGATTTACTCTGGAACTTCTTGTGTCGGCACAGTGTCGGAGGTATGAACTTTGCCAATGGATTCATTTGCATCACCACTACCATGGAGATCTACTAGTATATTGCTGGTTACATGGTGTCTCTGGTGATGTTTTGTCAGATGCCAAGACACATGATTAGAAAGGTGATATTGCCAGCAAGCTAATGGGAGGAAGTTGCTTGTTGGTGGTGACATAGCAGCCCCAAATTTGCCTCCACCCTGGCCAGCTATGTCAACAACACCTATGTGGCTCTAGGGATGCTCCCAGGGCTGTATCAGAGCATATCCAGAGCCACTTAAACTGTGTAGGTAGACCAGGCATGGGCAAATTTCGGGCCTCCAGGTGTTTTGGACTTCAACTCCCACAATTCCTAATTAGCCTCAGGCCCTTTCCTTTTCCTCCTCAGCCACTTAAGGAAGGGCCCTGGAGGCCCAAAGTTGGCCCAACTGGAGGCCCAAAGTTTGTCCATGCCTGATGTAGATGCTGTCATACTTTCTCCTTCTTTCTCTCTCACCCACAAACATACATTAATCTTAATGAAGTCCAAATCAGGACTAAGATCAACCACACAAGTGCTAAAAAGCAAAGCAATCAAAACTCCCTTGAAAAGTGTCACGTCTCATTTACCCTTGAATTTTTCAAGGGAGCAATATAGTTAAGGACTCTGAGTGTTCAGAGAGTGAACTAGCGAAGCCTGATAAATCAAGTACTTTGGAACGTAAATCAAGATGTGTGAAGTTAGATCATGTTTACAGAACACTGTGTGCCGTTGCGTCTAGTTTTCCCTCAACAGACTTGAAAGCTCTGGATCCAGTTCATAAGCTATACAGTATAGATTGGGTACCCATGACAGAATGCCTATTCACTGTGTGGGGTTAGTCTGGTATGCAGCTCTTCCTGGAAGACTGGTAAATGAGCCCTCGATCAGGAAGCAAAGTGGACTTTGGGATCTGTCCTTCAAAAAACAACTTTTTTCTCCTGGACACTCCTTCCGATAATTTTGAGCACTTTCCGTTGTATCTCTGCCATGAAACACATTTCCTATGCGCTTCAAAGCTCCTTAATTCCTTAAAGCTGGGCAGCCTCCAGCCTGAATTTGACTGCTGATGGTCTTGATTTTATTTAAGTTTGAGTGGGACAGAGCCACAGTGAGGCTCTGTGCACTTGCCAGACTGGAAAAGTAGGACAGGACAGGTCCAAGTTTGTACATAGTGACTTATGCTAACTGCTTCTTAGAAAGTGGAAAGAGTGGCAAGGAAGACAAGCATATGTGTATGCAATGAATTCTTATCCTGGTTACATAAGAGATCCAGTTTAGATGCCAAGTCTGCAGTGTGAAAGTTCCTTTAGTAAAATATATAAATAAATACCATGGTAGGCTGCTAAAGTATGCTTTAGCTTAGTGTTGTAGATGGAGAAAATTGCTGGAAGATGGTGCACCAGAAGAAAGAGGGAAAGAACATTGCAAGGCATAACCTGCTACATTATGTATTTAAATCAGGGGTGGAAGCCAGGTATTGGCATACTGGAGTTCTGTAGTCTGTGCACATTCAGAAGAAGATCCACAAGCCACTCTAAACACCTTTGCAGAAGCATACAAGAAGCTCAGCCTCTCATTGAACACTGAGAAAACCAAAGTGCTCTTCTAGCAGCCACCAGCCAATCCCTCTGCAATGCCAGAAATACAGCTTAAAGGTGTAATTTCCGCTGCCTTGATGGCCACCTCTTCACAAAAATCAACATTGATACTGAAATACAACACCATCTGAGCTCTGCAAGTGCAGCATTTTTCCGAATAAAGCAGAGAGTGTTTGAGGACCAGGACATCTGTAGGGAGACCAAGGTACTTGTTTATAAAGCTATCATCCTCGCAACCCTGTTATACACCTGCGAAACTTGACCTATCTACAGACGTCACACTCAACTCCTGGAACAATTCCATCAGAGTTGCCTCTGAAAAATCCTGCAAATCTCTTGACAGACAAACAAATGTCAGCATGCTGGAAGAAGCAAAGACCACCAGCATTGAAGCGATGCTCCTACAACATCAACTCTGCTGGACTGGCCACAGTGTATGAATGCCCGATCACCATCTCCCAAAGCGTTTACTATACTCCCAACTCAAGAATGTAAAATGGAACATTGGTGAACAGGAAAAGAGATGGACTTAAAGCCAACCTTAAAAACTGTGGCATAGACACCGAGAACTGGAAAGCCCTGGCCCTTGAGCGCTCTAACTGGAAGTTAGTTGTGATCAGCAGTGCTGCAGAATTTGAAGAGACACGGATGGAGGACAAAATGGAAAAACATGCCAAGAGGAAGGCACATCAAGTCAACTCTGACCAGGACCACCTTCTACCTGGAAAGCGATGTCCTCACTGTAGAAGAACATGTGGGTCAAGAATAGGGCTCCACAGTCACCTACGTATCCACTGCAAGGACACTGTACTTTGAAGGCAATCATACTCAGACGAGGTATCACCTAAGTAAGTAAATAAGTAAGTAAGGAGGCCAGGCATTTCTCAGGCTGAGGTCGGAATCCCAGTTCGGAAAGGGTCTTGGTGGTTATAGTCTAGCATTAAGAGGGGACCAAGATGCAGGAGAAGTCTAAAGCAAAGTGAAGGAGGTCAGACACAATTCTTATGGATTTGGACCTTGTTTCAGTAAGCAAAGCACAGCTCAATGTTGAGTCGGGTCATTCAGTAGTTGATCATGATGTAAAAGCTCATAGGTTGCAATTCACACCTCCTTTCCATAGAAGAGCTCTCACGCCATTCAACTTTCAATAAGCATGTATTGCCGGTTCAGTGTAATACAGTGGCTTGCTACTCGGGCTTTTAAATTTTAATGTTTAATTTTTATTAGTCTCAATTTTTAAGTCTTGTTTTTAAATTTGTATTCAACAAAATGTTATTTTTTTAGTTGTGTGATGCCTAATTTGCTGTAATGTCTGATGTTGATGTCTACCATGTTATTATTTGATTTTTGGTTTGTTTATTTGCTTTTTTGGTCACATGTTACGACATTGAATGTTTGCCGCCTTGTGTTGTGAACTGCCCTGAATCCCCATTGGGGAGATAGGGTGGAATAGAAATAAAGGGGTTTTTTAATTAGCTGCCTTGAATCCCTATGGGGTTGAGAAAGGCAAGGTATAAATAAGGTAAATAAATACATTTTTATTATTCTCATGGAGAGATATAGAGAAGTCTCAGGGTGAAAACTGACAGCTACATAAATTATGTTTTCAGTGATTGCTTCTTGTGTGCATCTCTCTTTCAGGCTGTATGCAGAACCAATGGGTACTATTCTATCAATGTTCCCAGCTGGTTCAGTTTACACAAAGTAGTGCAGCCTCTAGTGAAACGGATCTGTGACTCTGATCACCTAGCATGCAGCAAGACCTGTTTAAATTCAGCAGACATTGGGTTTGTCATCGATGGCTCCAGCAGCGTTGGCACAGGCAACTTCCGCACCGTCCTCCAGTTCGTAGCCAACATCAGCAAGGAATTTGAGATTTCTGACACAGATACCCGCATTGGAGCCGTGCAGTACACCTACGAACAGAGACTGGAATTTGGTTTTGAGAAACACAACACAAAACAGGATGTTCTAAATGCCATCAAGAGAATAAACTACTGGAGTGGAGGAACCAGCACTGGAGCAGCCATTAACTATGCTTTTGAACAGCTATTCAGCAAATCCAAACCCAATAAGAGGAAAATTATGATTCTGATTACAGATGGCAGGTCGTATGATGATGTTCAGGGGCCTGCGACAGCAGCCCATCAGAATGGTAAGTCACAGTACTCTAAACAGACCTGTTTTTACAAAAATCAGTCTCAGCTTGTGTAAGGATGGAGCTGTGGATATGGAATATTGCACTTGCATTAGGCAACCTTTGTAGGCAACTATAAAGAATGTAGTTGTATAGTGAGTTTTGGATTCCCCACCCATGAATTTTGATATCCTACCTCACACGTTGACATAGGAAAAAGAGTGATCAGTGTTGATTCAGGACAAAGATCTGGAACTAAATCCAAAGTTGCTTTCAACTAAATTAAACCCGTTAAAATAAATGATCAACATAGGTTCAGGACAGCCAGGTCTGGGACTAAATCCAGAGTTGCTTTCAACTATAAGAAAATTGATTGATGTGAATGAGACTTGTGTGTAGTCATGAATTACAGCAGAACCACTTCACATTTATTTATTTATTTATTTCCAACATTTCTACCCCATCCTTCTCAACCCCCGAAGGGGGACTCAGGGCTGCTTACAATGGCAGCAATTCGATGCCAACAACATACAACACATTATGTACAACATTGTACAAAAGATAAAACAATTAGATTAAAATACATTTAAAACATTATTATTCATCATATAGCCAAATCAAAGTCTGGTTTAGCAACCGACGACCAAGTCCAAAGCCTGTTATAGTCAAAATTCCAACATTATTATTACTTCCAAGTCTACTGTCCAAAAGCCTGGTCCCAAAACCATGTTTTGAGCTTCTTTCTAAAAGAGAGGAGGGATGGAGCCGACCTAATTTCGCTAGGGAGAGCACTCCACAGGTGGGGGGCCACCACCAAGAAGGCCCTGTCCCTCGTCCCCGCCAAACACATGTGAAGAAGGTGGGACCGAGAGCAGGGCTTCCCCAGACAATCTTAAACTCCGAGGCAGGACGTAGAGAGAGATACGTTCGGATGGGTAAGCTGGGGATGAACCGTATATGGCTTTATAGGCCAAAACCAGCACATTGGTTTTGATCACATTGGATCTAGTCTTTGGGAAATAATGGTAATGATTGCTTTATTGTGACTTGGATAACTCTTGAAGCAGAATGCTTCTTTCCACGTGGTGTAGACACCACTGTTTCATTGGCCTAAATAATGTCAGGGTGAGAGTATTAATTATCTGTGTTGCACCTGAACTCTTTCCTCAAACCTTCTGTCATTCTTCTTTCATTCTCCTCTGTGGCATAGGCACTATTGTAATGAGATTTATTTGTTTGGGTTGCTTGCCACATCCAGACTCCAAAATTAATGGGGAATAAAATCAGCCAATACTGCATTGTTTTAAACAAATATTGATCATCTGTTGCTTTGAGATATTTTGGTATATCAAGCATTCATTCTTAAAAAACATTGCTTTGAAATCAAGCAAGATATCAATTTTGCACTCATTTTTTTATTTCAGGAGTCATAACTTACTCTGTTGGAATTGCATGGGCTGCCCAGGATGAATTAGAAGCCATTGCAACTGACCCTGATAAAGAGCACTCATTCTTTGTGGATGAATTTGACAGCCTGTACAGATTTGTTCCTAGAATAATCCAGAATATCTGCACTGAGTTTAATTCACAGCCACGAAACTGATCAGCTCAACATTTCCCATTAAATGGTCTATCAATTGAAGACTATTCCATGAGAGATATGAGACAAAATGTTAAACAAGCAATGCCAAGCCAGAGTTGGAAAGGCATTTCCAGCCGAGACCATTTTCAGCTCTGTTCTCCATGCATGCCAGCAATGTGTGTAGAGCAATGAATATTTTATTCTATCTGCTACTTACAAAACCGATTTGACAGCAAGACAGCTACAATCCTTGGTTAGATTCAACTGACTCATCACTCCAGTTTGAAATTAACGTCCACATAGAACAGGTGAATTAAAGCTGTAAGACTGTAACCAACATGCACATTGGTTGTAACCCAGATCCCAACACTTGTTGGGAAATGTTCCCTTACAATTCCAGCATGTGGAATAAGTGGCTGGCCTACAGCTGACCTTCCAGTACTATAGTACCATTTACTGTCAGCCTTTAATTAAAGTTGCTGGTGAAGATGGGGTGGGCACAGATTTCAAAACACAGGATCACTGAAAAATGAGACATGGGCGTTGGTAAAAAAAGAAGAAGAGAGAGAGTAAAAATGATATTGCAGCGCAGCATTCATGGCAGCAAAAAAATTCTGTTTTGGACAGCCACATAAGCAGGCTTCTTAAACCTTCCCACGTGATCCCTTTTGGCCTGAGAAATGTTTATGTGACCTCAGATATATAAGTATGTAAAATAGGTATAAAAACTACATTTACTGACAACACACCAGCATTTCTAAGGCTTGGTAAACAGGCTGATTTTCTTTTTTATGAAGTACAGCAGAAGCATCTTCTGCAGAGTCCCATAAATGCTGCACAACTGATTTGCAAAAACGTTTAAAACAGCAACTAACCTTTTAATGTTGCCAGTTTTTTCAGGACCCCAGCATTGGTTTAAAGGGCCCCATTGGGGTCAGGACCCACAGTTTAAGAAGCTCTATTCCCACACAACTTGAGATTTTTAGAGATTAGCAAGTAAATAAATACAGTATGATACCCATATCTGCAAGGAATATGTTCCCAGACTTCGTATGGAATAGTAAACCCTGTTGTTTTCAATGGGATGAAGACAGGAGGTACCAAGAAAAGGATGTAGCTTGTAGAGAACACCCTAAGTGAATTATTGAATCTATGAATAAGTGAACACATGTAAATTGGTACTGCAACTATAGATGACTTACCTAGACATTCCAGGGTGTTTGACCAAAATTGGCTGTAACAAAGGCCAAGAAATCAAGGTCATATTTTTTTACCTTCATTGCAGAGTCTCTCTGAAGATCCAGAGCTCCAGCAGCTACTTTATTTTATAGCTCACAAGCCACTCTTCCCCATTTTCCATTGGAGAATCTGATCCTGTTTTTGAAACTTGCAACCATAGTAAACCCAATTGATCCTAGGGATTAGCAAGCTGATACAATGAGAATATATATTCTGGTCTTTAAACAGTAGGCCTACTTGTGCTTCAGAAATTCCAAATGGTCATTTATATCAACAAGTGTCATGTTTTTTAATGAATTAATGAACAATTTTGCTGATCAACCTGTCATCTTATTCAATGAGTGCTGGGTTTACTCAGAAGCCTTTGGTGAGGAAGATGGCTGAAAAGCTTTTTGCAAGTCTAGCATACAATGACTACCCCAGTCACCATCACTCATGTTTGTTAATGCACAATGACACACCTCTAAAAGGATCGTGAGACAAGACTTACCTTTACAGAAGCTACATTGATTCTTCCATGAAAAATTTGCACTTCTGTTTCAGATACTACAGGGTGAGGCAGCATAACTTCTTTTTTTCAAAACTTAATAAAACCTATTGTATGAATCAGAATTTTTTTATTTTTTTTATAATGTAGGCGCATACCCAAAGTTTTGTTTTACGTAGTTTTGAAGATCAAATTACGTAGGTGACGTCCCCCATTCTCCATACACTGAGTAAACCGATTTCTGGCGTTTGTCATGACTCTTGCTAGCATAGCAGGCATTATGTTGGCAATTTCTTCCTGGATGTTGGTCTTCAAATCTTGTAGGGTTCTTGGATGGTTCACATAAACATGGGATTTCAAAAAGACCCATAGAAAAAAATCACAAAGGGCCAAATCTGGAGAGCGGGCCGGCCACTCCAAATCCGCTCGAAAAGTAGGCCTCAACAGCAAAAGCACGCTCCTCACTGTTCCAACGCATGATGGTGACTGAACTGTGTCAGGACAAAACTTTATACTCCCGCCCCTCGAACGAGACCACTAGCACTCCGCTACATCTTCAGCCGACTGAATGGCGCGCATTTTAAAAAAGGAAATTATGCTGCCTCACCCTGTATTTCCCATATTTTTCTCGGAACATGAATTGATTGGACCAGCCTGTAATTGTCTGCTTACCTCTCTAGACATTTTAAAAATATGGTATAACACTGGGTGCTATCCAGTCTTTAGTTACAGGGCCTATACTGGTAAGTAGTTAGTGAGAAGATGTGCAACTTCAGAACTCTCAGGTGGATACAATCCAGGCCAACTCATATAATTCTGTTGTCAGTAACCTCTAGGACATCGGCTCAGCACTACTATTTGCATCACTTCTTCAGAATCCCCTCTTGAAACTGTTAGTTCAGCATAAGTATCTGTCCTAAATCATTTACAGTAAAGACAGATGAATGTTTGCCACTTTTTGCCTGGAAATCGTTCCGAGTCCCCGGGGAGATAGGGCGGGTTACAAATAAAGATTATTATTATTGTGATTATTATTATTATTATTATCCTTCAGCTGAATACTGAAATCTCTGCACAGAAAACATGATTTTGTAGATTCCTATTCCATATACATATATACGGTATATATATGAAAAGGAAGCAAATCATCTTTTCTAACAGCTATTTTAAAAACTTTTTCATAATTAATTGCTGTATATTTTGAAATAAAAGTTACAAAGGTTATTGCATCTTTGTTGTGAACCTACTTCTCGAAACAAAATTAATGTCAATAATGAAGCTTTGGGTGTATCCAGATGAAGACTTTATTGTGTGATATTGTGCCTCATTCCCTCATCTTTTACCAGGTGTCCAGATCTTATCTTCCACTTGTAAATCTCCCATGTTGCCTTATCATTTCTTGATTTTTTAAAATTGCAGAAAATATCTTAAGAAATAGATCCCCATCTAGCTGGAGGCTTCCTTTATTGCTCTTTGGAAGGGCTTCTGAAGACATAAAGAACGAAAATGTCTCCAAACTTTCTGGGAATAGCACTCATGAAGGTTCCTCACACTATCTCAGATTGATATGTATCCTTCAGGTTATCTATCCAAGGCTCTAGGCAAAGATCTTCCACAGTATAGTCATGGGGAAATTTTCCTAAAAGGGGATGCTGGAGAACATGTGAAGCTTGACCTCCAGTATATAAAGCATGTGGCCTATCACTAAGCTGTGGAAGATCTTGAAACTTATGTGACACTGCTTAATTTTGAGATAATGGTTGATCTTTTTTTTAATAAGGCTATTGTGTCTTCCCTTAACTCCATAAAATATTGGCACCACAACTAGCTTAATTTTGGCAAAAAGGCTGATTGGACTAATACATTCATGGGCGCAGAAAGAGAATTGTGGTGTCTGTTGTCCATTTGACTAAGATGGGCCTTAAATGTGTTCTTCTCCTTACCTAGATTAGTTTATTTCTATACAGAATCTGAAAATCAGAAAGGAATGAAGGGAAAGTTAAGACAAAGATAACTATATAAAACATGTATGAGGAAAATAGAGGTTGTGTGCAAGCTCAAATAAAGTAGTTGCATCAATAAGGTGCAAACTAACACTGAAATGTTGTGACCAATCATAACATTTCATGGCTTCAGCATTTCATTCTCTTAAGACACTGAAAGAAATCTCCCAAAGATAGTCTCCACAAATCTGGTCAAACTCCTGCTTTGGGGGAAGAAAGTTCTTATATCAGGATTTGCTGATTGTTTGGACAAGTTACAAGCCACTTCTGTTAACAACTGATTGCAAAATGGCAGAAGGACCTGTTGCCCATAGTCATGCAGTTCCTAATCTAGTGAATGATATAGGCAATTAAATCCAAAAGTCACACATTTGGTATTAAAAAACAAAACTAGGAACATGCAGGATTGAATTCCATCCCAGGAGCCACTGGTGCAACATGAAATAGGTTTGGAACCCAGAGTTCAATCTAATTAAATCTTCCTGACAGAGTTTTTACTTCAATGAATGCTGCAAAGATTCTATAAAATCATAGGGCCATTCCGCTCATGATACTTAACATTCAAATTAAAGAAATTGAATATTATCCTGCTGTGTCTTTCAAATTTTCCCAGCTCACTCACATGGCAACCAATGTCTTTCAAAAAGATATTTGCATATATTTGAGGAAGAAACAATGACACAAACATGAGGGGAGAAGGTTTTGTTATGTTTTGTATTTTCAAAGTAATTCCCTAAACTCATAACACATTTAGAATACATACAAAAACACAGAAGTTGAAAAATAGTATTTATTAGCACCCAATTTACATAAATACATAGTACAAAGGACATTTATTTGCTGCTGTAATATTTAATAAAGCTGCTCTGTATAGTGTTACTTCAGCAAGATCTGTTTGATTTTACTTAACATAGAATGCAGGTACCATACACAATTTTTTTCTTTGCTGAGCCATTCCCAAATGTCACTGCCTTCATTTCTACTTTAGAATAACCTAATTTAAATAATTTATTAACAGAAGATCCATGAATTCCATAATGAGAAGAACCTTTCATATTATCAGGTAAACAAACATGTTTACCCAACATGTACCATAAACAGTTTTGTTTCAATTTACTTTTAAAGAGACCTTTTTTGTTTGTCTTTTTGTTTGTTTACATTTTTTAAAAAACCACCTTGAACTAAGAATGTTGTCAGTGGGTATTTTTCTTCCTTTTGCACTTTATCTATATCTTGAAATATACTCTCTCAATGATGAACCTGGCCATTCCCAGAAACTTTAAAAAAATCAGTATGATAAAAAGCTTTTCTATGGTTGAGACATCCCTAAAATATACCATAGCCAACAGTACTTTCTGCATTCATGGTGAATTTCCAAAATCAACACTGATTCATACCCAGCTAATTTATTCAATCACATTTCAGACAAATGACATGGGTCTTTCAATTATGATTCAAATTAAGTCTGCAATCTTCTGCACAATTTACCTATTCAATAGGGCTTACTTCTGACTGAAAGTGCATAGAATTGCAATTCAAGGGGCATTTCTAAAACAATTCTATTTGTTTTAACTTGTTAAAACTAAGCACAGATAGCTAATGAGGAATAAAAATAATTTCTAGCACTTCTGAGCTACTACTACCTGTCTAAAGGTGAAAAACACAGATCCCTAAAGTATATTCAGGACAATTAGAAGAAAATTTCAAAAAAAAAAATCAAATATTTTGAACAAAACAAGGAAAGAAAGCCAAAGCATCAGATGGCCTGGCTATTTAAGATCAATGTTTAGATGTAGACTAACCACAAATATCCAAATGAAGGCAGTGCATTTGGTCAACTCTAAGCAAATGCTATATTAAGAAGGTGTGGGCCATCTCGTTCAAATGCGTATCAAATGCATAAAAGAGGTCCAACCCAACACTGAGAGGTAAATCGAAGGAGGTTAATTCAAACTAAAAAAAAGTTACTTATCTCTTACTGAAGATGATATCGCAAAGAATTTCAATACTTGTGCACAGTACTATGCAGTCTATAGTAGGCAAGCAGGAGACTGACAGACACAAACACAGAGTTTGGAGAAGAGCACAAATACAGAGCCCACAACTTCATAGTAAGGCTACATTTTGTTTGTCAAAAGGCACCTTAGCCTCTAGCTATTTGCCTATTTTAGAAGTCACTTCACTTGGATCAAATATTCACTAACAGGATGGGACGACTTCCAATCCACCCCTGAATAGCATTTATTTCCCTTACATTCATAATTTAATCAAATGGGAGTCTTAAAAACAAACATGCTGGCATATTAGTTTTATGTACAGCAATTTAAACATCAGCAACTATGTATTATATTGCTTAAGCAAAGAGCACAATACCCATACCTTTTATTCTTTGTAGTTGACAAAGTTTGAAGAATTTGTAATACTAAAACATTAAAATTACCCCATAGAGAATTTTCCCTTAGACGCATTTAATACATACTGTTTACAACTTCTCTCTATATCTATCTATATACATATATATATGTACACACACATAATATACACAACTTCATGTATTTGTTTTTTCCCAAATAAACTTCTGTAGTATCATTTCTTTTTACAAATGAATACACCAAGAAAACAGGAGCACATATAGAGAAGTCAGAAAAAGATAAATGTGTCTTACACAGTACAGTTGTCTGCTTTGACTCAAAATCAGGAAAATCACTTTATTACTGTATTTTTAAAACAATAAAAGGCTAGTTGAATTAAAGAAAAATATGTTGAACATCAGTATGTGCAAGAGAGAAAATATCTACCAACAGGATAGTTCTGTGTCACCTTGAAGACAAACATTTTATGTCATAATCTTTGAGGATTACAGGGCTGTGATCCATGAAAGCATATGCCATAATAAATGTGTTAGCCTTTAACATGCCACTGGAGTCTTTTTTTCCCACTACCATGTGACCATTTCAAAAATTGCCAAACAAGTAGAATTCTACATTTTAAAACCAACAGAAAGAAGCTGTGCTAAAAATTGTACTCTCTGGTCTGCTTAAAATCTGTGGCATTCAAAGCATTCCAAGATCTAATTGCAAAAGAATTTCTAATTCTTGCTTGTTTCGTTCTTTTTTTAAAACACCAAAACAAAATCAATTATTTGTGTCCTATCTGTGAAAACCATAGGATTAAGTCACAGGTTGATAGGGCAGACTATCTTTCCTATATGACGATGCCATTAACCTTTGGTCACTTCCACCTGGGATTATAGTAGAACCCTTTGTACAATTCATGATAAATCTTTTAGACTCACAGGATGTTATACTGCTTTGAAAGACATAGATACCCTTTCAATGTTCTGCAACAGTTTTTGCACTGGAATGACAGCCACCAATCACTCCATGCGCCCTCAGAATAGCAATGCTTTCTAATGCTGTGCAATATGTGAATTAAGCAAGAATAAATGCATTTGTCCTCTACTCTCCACATCACTAGTCCACTCTGAGATTGTGGAGCTAAGTCCTGACAGGCTTATTTACTTTGCTGATTCATTTTACCCCTCATTCATGCCCAATCCTTCTCTCTCACACACACTCATATTCACACTCAAGCAATTCCTAGCAGCATGAAACAGCATACCATAAGATAACAGTTCCAATGCTGTGTGTAAACGTGTGCAGGAGAAATTGAAGAGGAGGGTACTCGAAAAACAAAACAAATATTATTGTATTTTAACAGTAAGACCTGTTAAAGGTATCGTTTCTAGATTAGTTGAAAGGGGGAAAGTTTCAGTATTTTAAAAAGCTCTTAATATGATCAGAGTGTATCAACCATTTGACGTTTCCTGTCTCTTGCATACAGATGTTCTCCATATTCTATGAAGTTAGATTACAGAATTAATTGTGGTTCCAGCCACTTGCTAACCATAATTTTAAGGGCTTGAATGTGTATCTTATATATGATTTATTTAGCAAATTACTTCATTAATATTTTAAAATATTTAACATTTTAAACCCAGTCCATCTAATGTAACCCCAGTAGGATAAGACTGAATCATTTATTACTTGGTACATTAACCAATCTTTCAATACCAAAATAAGAACATAGGATGCTATTCATCTCAGGGCTTCAGGTTACATGAATCACAAAACCCTAGGGCAATTTTAAGGAATTTTGTAAATAAAATCCCACAAGAAACTGAGAGAAAAAAATTTATTTGCCCACGCTCCACAGAAATTGAGCTATTGGCTTTAAAACAAAAAAACCTGACTACTCTGCATTGCCCACACTGTTTCTAGGGGATCCCATTTTGCCCAAGACCGGCCTGGACAAATACTGATGTCTTCAAAAATAAAATGATTCTTCTATAGACCTTCTGAAATGAAGAGTTTCCCAGGTCTCAGTACTCACTGAGCTCATATAACCAAGCAACCCTTTAATTTAGAAAAGAGCACCCTGAAGCAAAACAAAAACAAAAAAATCCTAAACCCTGAACTATTACTAACATTCATTTGAATTAGAGGGCACAAAGAGAAGATCCCTGCCCTTGTCTTCTGTACAGCATGTTGTATATACATGGCAGCTAGAAGGGAAGCAAAGCATTGCATCATACAAAGACTTTAGCAAGCGCATCTGCTCCTGCACTGGCAATGTAACATTTGGTGGGGTGGAATGCCACATCATGAATAGATTCGTCGTGTTTTTTGCGATGAGCTGTAAACTCCTGAATGCAGGTCTTGCTCTCTAGGTTCCATAAGCGTATTGAACAATCGTGGCCTATGATGGAAGAAGGAGGGAGGGAATTAAAATTTATTGCTAAAGTTCTGGTGGGGGGGGGGGGACATTTAAGGAATAACCTTTGTAAGTACTTACTGCCAGACATCAAGTATAAGCCGTTTGGATCAACAGCTAAACTCGTGACTGCATCCAAGTGGGCTACCATGGAGTGAATCAATTTCCCTATGTTATTAAAGATAAAAAAAATTGTTTTACAAGCTATCAAAATTAATATAATACAAGACTGAAGAAATATTATGTACTGAAAAATTTGACCAAGTGTACAATGTGGTCCCTCCAATTAACAATCTAACTTTCATCTTCCTTTCTGAAGTGATCCCTATGGTTTTGAAATTTATAAGTTCACTCTCTTTTTTAAAAACCTGTGCTTTTCAAATTGATATGTGAAATATAGTTGGGGATGGGGCAGTCCCAGTCGGAATATCTGAGATATTATTCGCTTTGCAAAACCCATTCTAGCATACTGCTTTATACGCCAGACGAAGGCTCCAAGAGTCTGGGATTCAAATCCTTGCTCAACCATGTTAACCCACTGAGCCTTGTGTAAGTCACAGTCTCTGCCTATGAAGAAAAATCTCCTCTGAATAAATATTACCAAGAAATATTTATTCAGATTGCCATTAAATGAGGGTGACTTGAAGCCATATAACACAAAGTGGTTCACAATTATCACCAAGTTACTTGCACAAACATTGTGTACGCTCTTCTAGCAATCTAAGCAGCAAACACCAAAACTGAAATGCAAAGGACCAGAAGATTTTGGCCAGGCTGTTTACGTTATCTGGTTGTTGCTTGAATAAAATACTTTATGTGCACATCGTAGTGACATGTATTGTTTTGCAACACTTTTACTTTTTCAGGGTACGATGTCGGGAGGGAAATTACTCACCTGTATTATTGTCATAGAATTTGATGTGCCTGTCTTCGTGAGCTGTGATACTGATTGGAAGAGTTGGATGGCTGATTACTTTGTTTATTTGGCAAGAAGAGCTAACTGCTAAAGGAATAAAAAGACGAATAGCTAGTTCCAAGAAGCAAAAACAAATCTAAGTCACATAAAATTGTTAGTCTAATGGCCCATCAAATGACTATATTTACTCAAGTCTAATGCTAACATTTTTGGCTAAATGACATTGCCAAAACTGAGGTGGCCATTAGATTTGATGGCACGTTAGAATCATGCACATAAACCCACCTGTGTGAAAAGCCCTGGAACCCAGAACCCTGGAGGCCAGGCAGGGAGACAGGAGGCAAAGTGGCTGTTTGCAATGATGGCAGCAGCCGCAGGGCTCCGTGGTGCCCGGAGGGGGACCTCCCAGCTTGTGACCCAGTTGTTCCTGTTGCTTAGCTGCAAATCCTGCATCCGGGGCAACCCTCAAAGACTTCTGACCGGCTCTCCTAGACTCAGTCCCATGCAGTTACCAACTGGCCTCAGTCAAGAGGCTTTCAACCCCCCATTCCCCTGCAACAGTTTTGAAAATCTTATGATTGGGACCAGTTGGGAATCATGTACAGCCTCAGCCTAGCAGATGGCCTCATTTGTGCTGCCTGTCTGTGCTTGTGCTGTTGGCACATTTATATTTGAGAGCAAATCCATTTGTTGCAATGTGTATTTCAAAACTGGAGTACACATTATATTTGACAGCACATAACATGCCAGTAAATGCAGTAGTTTTTGAGATACCAAATAATCTATTCAAATCTTATTATACTAATTCATGGATGAAATTTTAACTACCCTTCAGAAATAGAACTAAAATAAAATAAACAATGCACACAGATTAGCCAATCTCATACAATTTCAGAAAATATATTGTAAGCCCCATTTGTAATGTAGCTCTATACTGAAGGTTTGCCATTTTGCTTTTTGTTTCTACTCATTATGGTAGCATAAGGAAATGGTAGATAGAATGAAAGCCTAAAATATCTAGAGATAGAATAGTTAGGACAAGAGAAAGGAAGCAAGAATTAGTCAAGGGAGAGATCTTAAAAAGCTATTTTACAACTTTGGCTCTTAAGAGTTCTCTCGTCTTCCTGTAGCAAATGACATATGGACAGGAAGAAGTCCAACAAAAACAACTAAACTCAAACAACGAAAATAACTAAACCCAAGTAGGATATTTCACTCCCAAATAGTGAAATGAATGATAGTCTCTCAAATGGCATTAATATGGAAAGCCAAAGGCAAATTATTTACACATTAAACTGATTAATATTTAGTACTTTTAAAGCAGGTGCATACATTATAGAAAAGTGCAAGAGACTTGCATTTCTGCTTTTACTACTCTAGGATGCAAAGGGGATACTCCTACACCATGCCTACGGACAAGTTTTAGAAGTCTTGGATATTCCCTGATAATTCTAAGCAAGTTATTATGTGGAAATAGACATATGATCACTTCTGCAATCCCTTTTTGAAACATTTTAAAAACAAATTTGAATGATTCCCAATGTATTCTCCTCCTTCACTCACTCCCCTTTGTATACATACCAGTATCTACATCGGATTCCAAGGTAAGAATGCATTGCCTTGTTTCCATATTAAAAATGGATGTATGCCCGCTGTTAAATGATGCTACCATGTGGTTTGGGTCACTGCTCACAAGATCCACAGAAGATGGAATCCCCATTTCTACAAAACAGAATAATGTCAGAATAAAGGCTTACAAGTATACATACCAGTTGGCATGAGGCCATTCAATTGGCATGAGGCCATTGCATAAAAAGAGTCATTTCACTATTTTTAATTACTCTAGTCAACCACCAGTTACTCAAACTGGCAAAAACAAGAACTGTGGTTTTAAGTGTTCAGCAAATCGCTGAAAATGTAAATACTAGATATCTATATTGAATTATTCCCAAAACTTGTTACAGTTTGTTTCCTGCTGCTGATACACTTGTGCCTATCAAGTTATTTCTGACTTATGGCAACCCTAAAGTGAATGTATTATGGGAAGTTCCTAGCAAGAATTGTTTGAGAAGGGGGGATGTTGCTTTTGCTTTACTCTGAGGTTGAGAGAGTGTAACTTCCCAGAGTTGTAGTCAAATGTACCACACAATGCACATGCTGACACAGAAACACTGAGCAATAACACATGCAGGCAATGAATGAGTAAGCTAACATGAAGTAGTATGCATACATAACAAAGTTTAGGTAGAAAAGATTCCATATAAAAGATGGCAGGGAGTGTGACCATTAAGATTAATTTATTTTTAGCATGAACTTTTGTGGACTGCTTCAACTAAAAATGAAGATATCTAAATGTCTTTGAAAAAATGTATATTGTGATAAAGCAGCTGTCCATCTGTATTTCAGTAGGTCAGGAAAAACTATATTTTAAGAAATATGGAGCCCTTAAAAATTGAGAAACCAACAACAAAAACTTAAATGTAGCCTAAAATTAAATTTTAACAGTTCAGAGGCTTTCACTGTTCTGTGTTCTGGACAATCCTAAAAAAGAAATATTACTGTGGTATGATTCCAATGATGGAACTGAGTATCTTCCCAGTATAACAACTCTTATTTTCTTCTCCCACACTGAGAGTAATATAAATAAATAACTTGGCTTCTGTAGACTTCAAACAAGCTAACTATATTACTATAATAATTTTTAAATTTGTATTAAAAGAAAAAACCTACCATAATACAAAGACACATGCAAAGAAACAAATTACTAAACAAAAGGACAGCATCCTCCCATATTTCTACAATTATTAAACACAGTATTTATTGGAATTTTAATTTTGGGGAAAAACTAGGATCAAGCTTTATGTACAGTTGTTACATACCATTGTACTTTAGTTCTCGAAAATAAGCATCAATAAAGTATATCATTGTTCAAAAGTAATAAATAGGATAAAACTATAATGGGTATTGTCCAGTATTACTTATTACAAATCAATGTGTGTCTGTGTATAGGCACATGTTTTCAAAAATAATGTAATAGAAAAGTGTGGTTTTTATTGTAATCCTTAAGATGTATAAAGGCAAACCTTTAAATTAACTTAATAGCTTTGGAAATTGTATGTTTCCCCAGCCTCAATACAGAAATGAAAGAAACCCATTACATCTTTTTAAGTTCTAAAACATTAAATTACAGATTATTTCATAACATGGTTATACACACTTAAACTGGAATTTTTAGACCAGTTCTAAAATCTAGAATATTAACGAATACCTTGATTATCATTAAATATGTTCAGAGCTGGAGAGATTTCCAACGCTTTCCATAAACGTATGGTGCCATCTGCTGAACAGGAAAGCAAGCGCTGGTGTGTTCCACTGTAAACCAAGCCCCACACGGCATCTGTGTGGCCTACAAATGCACCTCTTAAGACAGAAGGATCTGTGAACAAATAGCACATTTCACAAGTACTGCACATTGCATATTTCACAAGTACTGTGTGTCAAAACTGGAGAATACAAAAGGTGTTTCCTTATTAAATGAAGAGTGGGCTAATGCCAGTCTTTTTTAAAGTACTCAAATCTAGCCAGAAATGACACTGTTTACAGGGTAAGCAACCCAAAATCCAAAACTGTCCACATAGTTGGCTCAACGAGTGACACCTTTGCTTTCCACAACTGAACCATAATAAACAAAGTTATTATAAATTTTCAGTATAACCTTCAGTTTGTGGGTATATGATGTAAATAAAACCAAAATAAATTTTGTGTTTAGACCTGGATCCCATGTCAAAGATAGGTCATTCTGTATGTACAGAATTCAAAAAATTTAAAACATGTCTGGTCTCAAGTATTTCAGATAAGGGATACTCAACCTGTATTGACGGTTTCCTCAAAGTTATGATTCAGTTCTATATATTTTTTTCCAAGTTAAAGGGTCCATGTTACCTATCTAAATCTCCTTCCAAGCACCAAATTCTATGTCACAGAATCCCTTATTTGATGCTTCCATTTCACCAAGTTCTTTTTACATTTTGTTCTCCATCTAACCATCTAAAATCAAGTTTAGCTCCAGTATACTGTATTCCACAAGCTGTTCTTTCCTTTTTAAAAGGAAAAATTAATCTTAGGAAAATCAAGGACACTTACCATAGGAATCATATGGATCAACATTTGGGTTTGTAGTATTCCAACCCTGAATGAGACCATCAGTTCCCCCGCTGTAACACTGCTCCCCACTATTACTCATTACCACGCAAAGCACTGGGCTGCTGCAGAAGAAAGCACATCAAGAAGAATACTGATTTATTTCTGTTATTTTAATTTATTTCCATTCAATTTCTAATAGCAGGCTGTACACAACTGACATCCCACTAACTTGTTTCATATTGTAACTGAAATTACACAATCAAGTATTTTAAAAATTAAATCACTGGAATGAAACATCATCCGTTAAGTACACTGAAGAGGGAACTCGTAAACTATCCCATCGCTATGGGAAGTGCTATTTCTTTGTCTTTGTCTGTCCTATCGTTCTGCTTAAGATAGCAAGTTCTCTTGATTGTGTCTTCTCTGTGCATTACTCGGGGCACAGGAAATACTGGCTCTATGACAAAAGAAGCATAAGTTTATGTGCTCTACTTGACGGGAAGCTAATACAGCAGCATGGGCTGTCCAACATATTGCCTGCATGCAGCTTTTATCACAGAGTATCATCCTGTTTCAGAGATGCGAGGTGAGCTCAGAACTGACCACAAAATGAAGAAATCTTATGACTGTTGCAGAGATTGTGTCAGATACAGTTCACCCCATGACAGTGGTTGCATCACGCTGTGACAACCGAAATAGGTTCCCTATTTTCCTGAATATTTACTTACGTATGCGCCCTGAAAGTATATATAGGTTCGACATCAAGAGAGGCACTCCTAAAAAAAAGATAAAAAGAAGCATATATTCAAAAATGTATAGAACACAAAACACTGAAAAATATTTCAAGAATTTATTTGTATGTTGGTTTCAACTTATATGAAACTTTCTAAACACTTATTCAATTAACTATCAATTCCTGGCTCCTCTTATGACCCTCTTGGCAGACACTGGAATGAAACACCTAGAGTTCTGAGATATAGCATCATCATAACATTTGTCATAAAATTCAAAAAGTAGTGTTTTGTTAGCTTTCCAAAACAGATGCTGAAATATGCAGAAAGGAATGCTCACGAAAGTCAATTTCAGTGGCAATGACTGCCAAGACTCTGATTATTTTACAGGGCAAGAAGATATAAACAACTTGGTCCCTGGAAAAAACTAATAAAACTCATATACCAGCTCTAGCTAAAATAAATTATGACTACCAATTATAGTTTTCCTAGGGCAATTTGTTGCTTTAGGTACTAATTGAAAATGTTCAAGATTCTGGCAGTACAGGAAAACAGTGAAAACTATTACTACAGCTCCTTTATACAGCTCCATGGCAACTTTTATATGTACTTGAAAACACTCCCTAATCTAAAATGGCATCTGTATCGGAAGGAAAGTACATTCAATAGCTACAGTATGTAATAGTCAGATTACATAATGGGTTGGGTGCGGACTTGTGTTCAGTCAAATTCTAAAGATACTGAAAAAAAGGTTAACTGAATGATTTATTTCATGCCACCTTCAGGCCACAATGCCACTTTTCAAGCTGCTCAGAAAGGTTGGGAAAACCGTGAGGCATGGGAGTTAATGTTGGAGGCTGTAACAGAAATTGGATTGCCTTTTTCCAGTAGAGAATCTTCACTGGATCTCAGTTATTTTCACAAATACAAGGAGCCCTTCTCTTGATCAAGGAACAAGTCTAGTTCCAACCTGTAGTAAAGGCATCTCATCACTCCAGTGAAATAAATATCAGCCTTAATATAGCCATTCTGTTGCCATTCCATTTGTTTGGTGCATAGTCTGTATTTTATTTATATTTCTATATATCATTAGCCTAAAGTAAACCTTACTTTTTTGCTGGAGATGTTTTCTGCAAATTCCACATTTTTAACGTATGATCTTCAGATGCTGTAATTAACACGGGTTCAACTGGATGGAAAGCCAGGCCTCTTATTCCATCAAAGTGGCTCCTTAATGTGAACTTGGGATTCCAAGTCTTCCTCAGGGCATCTTTATTATTTGCTATCTGCAGTAATAAAAAGAGAATCTATTGTTCTAGTAAGAAACCCTATTTAAAGTGGTATCAAAGTGGCAATGCAACAGAAACCAATTTTACCTTGGATTACAGTTTGCCTCACTGACTTTCTGAATGCTTATATTTGCCTTCATGTAATGGCTTGTATATATGGTATTCTTAATGCTATGTAACAATGATCCAATTGCTCACATAATTCCAAGGCTATTCATATAGTCTAATTCTGTCCCTTTTCCCCACAATGCTACTTGCAACTTTTTAAAATATTTGAAATAATGTTTCATTAAGCTGGTAGGTTCACTTGGAAAATAGGAGCCACAGTGGCACAATGGGTTAAACCAGGGGTCCTCAAACGAAGGCCTGGGGGCTGAATATGGCCCTCCAAGGTCATTTACCCAGCCCTCACTCAGTGTCAACCTAAATCTTGAGGGAAGCACACAAGAACAACAACAATCCTATCTCATCAGCCAAAAGCAGACCCACACTTCCCATTGAAATACTAATCAATTTATATTTGTTAAAATTGTTCTTCATTTTAATTATTGTATTGTTTTTAGGTGTTTTGGGCACTACAAATAAGATATGTGCAGTGTGCATAGGAATTCATTTATGTTTTTTTTTCAAATTATTATCCAGCCCTCCAACAGTTTGAGGGACTGTGACCTGGCCCTCTGTTTAAAATGTCTGAGGACCCCTGGGTTAAACCCTTGTGACGGTTGAACTGCTGACCTGGCAGTTCAAATTCGTGAGACGGCATCTGTCGGCTCCAGCTTTCCATGCGGGGACATGAGAGAAGCCTCCCACAGGATGGTAACACATCCAGCCGTCCCCTGGCAACGTCTCTGAAAACAGCCAATTCTCTCATACCATAAGTGACTTGCAGTTTCTCAAATCGCTTCTGACACAATAAAAAACTTGGAAAATGGCACCTTTGCTGCCTTCAATATACCTTGAGGAGTACACAGTATTAATGACCAGCATTAAATAATTAATTTGGCCAAATACCACTATACGATATTTAACTACAACTGGATTTCTGTACAAGGCAGCTGAAAAATTCAGAAATCAGTATAATGTCAGCTTTTATTTGTAAGATCACATAAAATTCAAGAGAAATGCCACATTTGCAAATCATACAACAAATGGCTCATGGCTGACGACCATTAGAGGAGACTCTTATATGAGCTACTTTAGGAGAAAAAATTTGGTCTATAGGGATACTGAAAAGAGGCCTGTTAGTAGATGTTTGCATCACTTACTAATCTTGCATTACACTTTTATGTACATCAAATACTCTATGTACAGGAATGAAGAATCCCTGAAATCTGATTAACATAGGCAACAAGTCTACAAAAGAAAAGGGAGAAAAAACAGAATTTCCACTGCAGACCGGAGGATCTAATGCCAGTTTTGCCTACAGGTGACACGGGAAGCATTGCAAAACAATGCCAAGCAGTCTTTCTGAAAAATGGGGTAGATTCCAGGAACTACTCTAAGGCTTCTTACCAGTTTCCTTGTAAGACAGAAGACAATAAGGACGAATAATAATGGTGAAGGAAGAAAGAAGGCAGATGAAGGAGCTAAGGAAAAGAAAAAGGACAGAGAGATGAAAGGAAAAGGAAAACAAGGAAGATGTAGAAAAACGGAGAGGCGAAGACTATAACCAAGAACTACGAGCATATTCAGGCAATTTTGGGCAGAGCTGCTATGCAATTATAAAGCATTTTTATTCACAGGTTATTTTATAATTTCAGGGACTAGGACTTACATCATATGTCAGTGAATCTGCTTCATTGGCTACCGTGAGCCCTGCCAATTCTCCGAGACCAAGCTCATTTTCAAGGGCTTCATCTGTTCCCATAATGAAAGACTTTCCAGATGAAGGAGGGAATGTTAAAGCTTCCACTGAAAGAGAGAAAACGGAAGTATGCATTCCATGAACTCCAAACCTAATGCGCATTCAGGAACCCAAAAGTAGTATCCAAGAAAGTTATGTAGGATTCAATAAAATAGATTCACTACCAAAAAAAAACCCCCAAATATAGCTCACACCAAAATGAAATTTTAGGTGCACCAACAGAACTTGATTACTGCTGTTTGTTTTCTTAAATATAAATGGCTCAAAAACTATACGAGACAGTTTGAATTACCAATTTTAAACTTGCACTTTATGTTTAATCTTTGTTTTGTGTATTTTAATATGTATTTTGCAGAATAGGTTTTAATATGTGTATTTTAAACAATGTTTATAGATGAATGTGTGTTTTAGAAATGTTGTAATCTGCTTCGAGCCGTGGGGGGAGGCAGGAAAAAGATAGAAATAATAATAATAATAATAATAATAAATAATAAGAAATTTATTTAAATTTATTTATTATTATTTATTATTTATTTATTTATTATTAAACAAAAAACTTTAATTTTTGTTTTAAAAAAAGGCCAAGGCCTCAATACACAACATACAACATACTTAAAGCAAATTAAAAACAATTAAAGCAGTATTAAACAACAAGAACCACAAGCAATCAACAATACATCAAACAAGATAAAACTGGGCCAGCCAGAGTAAAGGGTACAGGATTTAAAGTGCTGATGTGACAGGTGATATGTAAGGATGATAGGCAAGTGCAATGTGCAGTGTGTGGCAGTCTTAATGCTAATAAAGTGCGTCTGGGACTTGGTATTGGAGATTTCCTAATTGGGAAAGGCACATCGGAACAGCCAGGTCTTCAAGTTCTTTCTGAAGACTGCCAATGTAGGGGCCTGTCTAAGATCTTTGGGGAGAGTGTTCCAGAGACGGGGGGCCACCACGGAAAAGGCCCTGTCTCGTGTCCCCACCAAACGTGCTTGCGACGCCGGCGGGATCACGAGCAGGGCCTCTCCAGATGAGCGTAGTGAACGCGTGGGTTCGTAGATGGAGATGCGGTCACGCAGGTAGGCTGGTCCCAAACCGTTCAGGGCTTTGTAGGTAAGCACCTGCACCTTAAATTGGGCTCGGAAGATAAACGGCAGCCAGTGGAGCTCCTTGAACAGGAGGGTTGACCTCTCTCTGTAAGGAGCGCCAGTTAACATCCTGGCTGCTGCTCGTTGGACCAGTTGGAATTTCCGAGCCGTTTTCAAGGGCAGCCCCACGTAGAGCGCATTACAGTAATCCACCCTAGAGGTGACCAAGGCATGGACCACTCCGGCCAGATCAGCCTTTGCGAGGTACGGTCGCAGTTGGCGCACGAGTCTCAATTGTGCGAAAGACAGATCAGCCTTTGCGAGGTACGGTTGCAGTTAGCGCACGAGTCTTAGTTGTGCGAAAGCCCTCCCCGACACCGCCGACGCCTGAGCCTCAAACGTGAGCGATGAATCAAGGAGGACTCCTAAACTGCTGACCTGTGGTTTCAGGGGGAGTGTAACCCCGTCCAACACAGCTTGCCACCCTATACCCCGGTCAGGTTTACGATCGACCAGGAGGTTATTATGACTACTATTTGTAGTAGTAGTAGTATGGGGACCCAGCGATGCCTAGGTTATTTTAAAAAGGCAGTTTGTTTTTGGGTGTTCGGTATTCTCAGTTTGGTGTGGATGAACAATTATTCCCAGAATCATGGGTCAATCCACCCCCAAACCCTACCAGTATGCAAAATTGACCATTTTGGTCCAGATCAGTTGTCAGTTGGGTTTCATGCTCTCTGGATAAGGGTGAACTACAACTCCCAGATTCCCAGGGCAATCACCCCGAGACCCTACCAGTATCCACAGTTGGCTGTGTTGATGTTTGGTCCAGATCCGTTGTTGGCTGGGCTCAGTGCTCTCTGGATGCAGGTGAACTACAACTCCCAAAATCAAGGTCATTATTCCAAAACCCCTGCAGTATGTTCAGTTGGTCATGGGGCTTCTCTCTGTCAAGTTTGGTCCAGGTCCATTGTCGGTGGGGTCACTGTTTCTCTGGATGCAGGTGAACTACAACTCCCAAAATCAAGGTCATTTTCCCAAAACCCCTGCAGTATGTTCAGTTGGTTATGGGGCTTCTCTGTGTCGAGTTTGGTCCAGGTCCATTGTCGGTGGGGTCACTGTTTCTCTGGATGCAGGTGAACTATAACTCCCTTTCCCCAAGCTTGTCTAGTATGTTCTGTTGGCCATGGGGCTTCTCTGTGTCAAGTTTGGTCCCGGTCCATTGTCGGTTAGTCACTGTTCATTTGGATGCAAGTAAACTACAACTTCCCAAATCAAGGTCAATTCCCCCCAAACCCCTGCAGTATGTTCAGTTATCCACAGGGATTCTCTGTGCCAAGTTTGGTCCTGGTCCATCAAAGGTGTGGTTTGGAGTGGTCTTTGATTGCTGGTGAACGATAAATCCTAGTACCTACAACTAACAAATGTCAAGGCCAATTCCACCCCAAATCCATCAGTATTAAAATTTAAACATATTGGGTATGCATGCCAAATGTGGCCCAGATTCATGGCTGACATTTACAGTGCTCTCTGGGTGTAGGTGAACTATAATTCTTATAAATCAAGGTGAATTTTCCCCAAAGTCCTCCAACATTTTTTGCAGCTCATGGAGGTTCTATGTGCTAAGTGAGGTGCAGGGCCATCGTTTCTGGGTTCTAGATTGCTCACTGATTCCCGGTGTTTAGTTGCTGATCAATTCCTCTGTTTGCTGTGTGCCATAGGAAAGGGTTAATTAAAGAAGAGGCAGTGGGCGGGGTCATGCAAATGAGAGAGAAAGAAATCCTGGGAGGTATCTTTGGTGGAGGAAGAACAGAAAATGTAGGCTGAAATGATCCCTGTATGAAAGCCTTCACTTGGGCGGTGGACAGGATGGCGTTTGTGGATGACATTAGCAATGCTCCTGGACATGTTCATGGTAACCTGCAATGTCCAATCTGGGAGGGCCATGGGTGTCTCCAGCTCAGTGGGAGCTATAGCCTGTTTGTGGAGGCTAGACTCTGTCTGTGTAAGCAGACACCCCTGCCACATACACACATTTTCATTATGTGTAATGTGTATAGATATAGATTAGGATACAGACCATATTTTAGTTCTTGCGGATCACTGGTGGTCCATAGACCACAGATTGGGAACCACTGATTTAAAGCCTCAATTCTACTATTGGCTGTGAAAGGATGCTGGACCCTATCAGCAAAAGGGGGATATCTTTCTGCTGTGTATCATCTGGCACAGCAACTGACCAAAGAGACATGCTGGAAAATCTAAAAATACTTAGAGAAGTGTTCTGTAAGATTTTTTTAAAAGCAATTTCTTTATTCATAATTTTTCCCTTTTATGGGAATCTTGTGCCCCAACTGCAATGAATATGGAGGACGGACTGAACACATGGTGTCAGTAGTCTTACCTTCATCTGTTCTATTCATCTCTTGTTCAATAAGCCGTGAGGTACTGGGTCTGGTAGGTGGCACAACAGATGGTTGTAATGCAGGCAGATCATCAACATCTCTTAAATTGGCAAGCATATCTTGAAGTTTTGACCTGTTGGGCCCTGGTCAAAAACAAAAAAGATGTACAAGTTTTGTACTAATTAATAAAAGCAGCATTGCCATTAAGAAACCTATTACTCCAATGCTAATGACAATGGGTGCTATCTTCTGAGGGAAAAATATGAATGTGAGTAAATTAATGAGCCCTATGTTCAGTATTAATTTTAAAGGCATGAAATGACATGTTTTAAAAAGGAAGTGATAAAATGGAAATTTTACAAACACACAAACACACACACACTTTAATTCACTTTATGGACTTGCATGAGAATGTAAAATAATTCAAGTGACAGCAAATGATAAAACAAAAACATTTTCAGTTTCCCTAAAACCGTAACACTTGTGAATTAAATTGCACAATTTTTTGAAACTTTCACAAAATTGTGTAGGACTGTTGTCTTTATTTGTCGTGCTGTAATATTTTAAAAAATGGCAATCACTTAAATAAAAGAAAAAAAACAAGCAAAAGTCTTTGTTTTTGTTCTTCCTGAAACTACATGTGATTGAAGACCCATCATGCCCTTCTCAAAACTTACCTGCATTTTGCTCCATCATTTTCCCACATCCCTGTTTTGACTGTTTTATATAGGACTGAGGCTGAAACATATCTTCGGTAGTTTTTCCTGTTGTAAGTTTAATTAAGAATGGGAAAATATCTTACCCACAGTCCATAACCGTTCTACCCAATCTAGTAAATACAACTATTGCTAGGCATCTTAAATCTTAAACGTCTATTAACATTGATTTGTACTTAAGAATTTTCACTACAGCCTTGCAAAATCATGGGATCATCTTCATGTTAAATATTACAAGACTCAAATCCTGCCTTACTGATGAAAGACCAAAATCTCAGATTATCACTACTCATATTTGCTTCAGCCAAAACTAAATAAGATTTTGCAAGACTGTTATCACTGAAATGGATGTCTGCAAAGACACAAAATTCTAAAGGTATGTACATTCATCATTAAATTAAAATTATGTAGCCTTTAGAGGTTAACATTTTGGTTCCCCCACCCACTTTTCTATTTTACCCTTTCATCTATCTAGTAAAACCAGCCCATCTGGGAATATATTTTTGTTGTTGTTGCACTAAACAGATGCTTAATTTCTTCAATGGCAAAAAGCTGCTCAGCTCCCTCAACCTTTCACTTTTCAGAAAAGGGAGGGACATGACGTCTAATGGAAATATCTGATTTTGAGATTTTTTTTTTGAAGAAGTTGTATTGTGGATTTAATGCTCACGACTCATTTCAGAATTTCTAGTCAATGGTGAACTTTATCCATTTTACACTGGAGCAAGAAATCAAAGTATACAGGTATGGTGGACAATCTTTTAATCAAGTCTGCCATCCTAATGAGCTGTTCCCTCTGCCTTTTAAAGGCTTATTTAAGTGCTCCTGAACAAGACTAAACCAAATACAAGCCACTTTCTAAATGTAGTCTTGGGCAGGGAACAAAGACACTGACTGACTTGATTGAATCCAGTTACTGAATCCCATGTTTTGCATGAATAGAAGGCTGCATGAGTTGGGCTGCAAGCACTGGAAATCTGCCAGCAAAATCTTGAATAAGAAGTTATGCCGGTGGTGGAAAACCTCTCTGCCCAACTATTTTTTCCTCACAATTTTGTGTGATGCAATACACACTACTCAGAAGGGCTCCATGAATCAATGAAATTATTGAGAGGAGCTACATGTGGCTGCAAGGAAAAGGAAGGGGAAATAGAGGTGCATTCTGGAAGCTGTCCTCTACTTGCTCAACCATTGAACCCAACTACTGACTAGTGGTCTACATTCAGCTGTGTAAACTATATATGCTTGCGTTCCACGTTAAGACTCCACGATTCTTGCAGCCTGAAACCCACATCACAACCTTAGATCCCAGAGCAGGACAGTAAAGTATCAAACTGTAGGATATAAATGTAAGAAAGAGGTAAATATGAGTAACGCATGAATTTTCATTACAACCTGGCATACAAATATCTCCTACAGCCCATACCACTGGAACGCTAGTAACATTATCCCTTTTGAAATGTGCACTGTGATAAATGACTAGACTCATTCAGTCCATGGGAAAGCCTTTATTGTTTGGTTATCTTGTCTTATTATCCACTCTGGACCAGATGGCAGAAGTCTTACTATTTGAAAACAAATTATAATGTAGGAGACTGCCAAGAGATCTTGGACACAATTCCAAAAGAGTAGCTAACTCTGAAATGATGCTTTGGGGAAAGACACAGTGTGCAGCCTTATGAATGAATAGTTTGGAAGGCAACAAGACTCTCCAAGTGAAAGTTGCACTCATAGGCAATAACCTAATCAATAGGATTAATTCACTTTCCTCCTTGCAATATTCTGGTGGCAAGACAAGAATTTTTAAATGATGAGGGAAAAGGAAACAGTTCCTAAAAGTGAAATTGACAGAATCTGCCAAGAGAACATCTGATTGAACAGGGTGGCGGTGTGTGTGTGTGTGTGTTAAATACTACTTTTCAGATATCATATCTAAGAGACTAGCTTGGCCAAGAGTACAACTTCATCAGTTATATAGGAAGAGCCCTTCATATAAAAAGTAAATCTAATAAGATCTGACAAAGAGGAGGGACATATACTCAAATATTCAATTCACTAAATTTCAGTGTTTAATATGCCTTTTACTCATAATGTCATTTTCAGCTTAAGCTACAAAAATGAATGTATTTTGCACTCTTCCACATTGGTACTATAATGAAATTATAGTTATTATTAGCTGGAAAATAATTTATCTTGTGATCTTAACAGAACTAAACCACAGGACAGTGAAAAAAGCCTCTGGAACATGCTAACAGTTCCATGGCAATCTTACCTATTAATAGGGAAGCTAATTCCCCCTGGGGAGATAGGGCAGAATATAAATAAAGTATTATTATTATTTATTCCTTTTGTAACCTCAATGTTGCAAACACAGCAATAGTTGAATAAAATTAAGCATCTTCTTGCAAATGTCAAGCTCATCTGTACTTCCACCCTTACTGTACAATAGTTACATATAATTCTTACATGAATTCACAGAACGCAACTGCTGTGTATGAAATACAAACCTATTATTTCCATATCAAACATATGAAAGGGCTGCATTGCATATTTTGAGAATATAGCTTCCACAAAATGGATTTCTATTTTAAGAGATGTAAAATGGAAAAATATGGTACACAGGGCTAGAAATTAAAATACTGATCCAATTGTTTGCCTGGTATAAAGTTAACATTCAATTGAATGTAATTATATTTAATCAGGACTGATCAATTTCACTAGAACCCTGATAAGATTTTTTTGTTCTATTTCGAGCCCTGCATTCAAGTTATGAGGACAACATGATTTGCATGTAGCAAACATCAAATATAAGCAAGGGTAGAAATTAACTTGTCATCTTCTACCACTAGTTAAGGATATGTCCAGACCAAAGATTCGCTATAGTAATTCTATTATATACAGGTTTGGCTTGCCGTGCTTACTGCTCATCACTAAATATGCAGTAATTACACGTAACTTCTTTCCTGAACTGTGGGCTTAACTTACACTGCTAAATATGCACAAAGGGTGGTGAACCTCTAGATATGTGAAATTACAATTGGCTCCAGTAACATTTGTTATGCCTCTAACAGGCTGATAGAACTGGAGGGCATCAGATTCCCCACACTGGTCCTAAACACACACTCCCCACATTTGTTAAGAAGTGGGAAAACGGAAAAGTAAGACATGTCTGCATTGGACAGGAAAGTACCTAACACCCTAACCTAGTACTTTGTTTTCAGTGAGTCATCTCATTAATTTTGTAAGAATAATCATAAGTACAACTAACAATAAATGAAATCCAGATAGCAACTTTAGGATGGATCTAGGCCTACACGCTGTATGCAATTATTGTTACCTTTTGATCTCTTCCCATTTAAAAAAATGGTTTGTCATACATAATTGGGAGCTACTATTAAGAAAGAAGGAACTGTAAACAACTCCTCGTGTATGGAAATAGATGAGAGATACTTTAGAATCTGGTCCTGGTGGTTTGTTGTAAATAAGCATTGACACATTAAATTAGCCTTAGAAATTAGGCAGAAAGATCAGTACTAATCTTCACCCAAATACCTCAGAAATAAACAGCAAGATAGACTGTGTAAAAAGTATGGATCTCAAAACTCTTCTGTAATATTACTACATATCCAAAGCATGTAAAAGTGGCTGGTTTGGACACACCTTAGCAAGTAGTGCTGATAAATTGATATCTCAAAATAATTTCCCCCCTTACTTTATAAACTGGATGACAGCAGTATTCCCCTTTAGATTTTAAATAACATTAATTTCCACCTCTTATAACTGTGAACAGGAAAGCAGTCAGGAGCAGCAAAGTAAAAGAGTAAGTAGTTTGAGGAAAACATTGAAAGAAAGATAGTATTATTGGTGAAGTGAAAGAGGCAGGATTTGTGAATTTAAGGTGCAATGTTTTCCACTTACTCTTCACCCCCTTTTTCCCCTTGCGCTCCTTTTTGTATTGTTCCTTCAGTTTGCTTATTACTCCCTGGTCCACATTCCAGGCTTCAGGCATGAGACACTGGTCTTCCTTTTCTAGACAAAGTAAAACAAATGAAACATCCTCTTTATGCCATTAATCTTTTTTTTTTTGTTCTATTGAAGAAGGTAGCAGCTTCTGATCCACCTTTTACTATTAACAATAAAGAGTGTGCAATTAAGAGGCCAAAAGGAAAGATCAATATGCATTTTAGATAAGTCCATCCTGTTCACACAGAAAGTGGTGGGATGCCTAAGAGAACAAGGAGTATGTGGGAGATCAGTCATGAACCCTCCTTCCTCCTTTGCCTACCTCACATCAGTCTGCTGTTTTTTGTTCTCAGTTCAGAGCTGGAAATGGGGAAAATGCTAGAATAACTGACAGCAGAGAAGGAAAGCAAAGAAGAGGGGGACATTGGTGCTCTTCCTTTTGCTCACTGCTTGAACTGCTCACCATCTCTGTTTTACATATATGAGAACAGGCTAAACATCAAACATTGGCATCATAATATCTGGTTTGGCCCCCAGTGAATTGTATTTCACTTAAGAAGTTTGTTAAACTGTAGTTATCAATGTTCTAGTCTGAAATATATTATTCAAGTGTGAGTGGAAAGTCTTTCTTTTCCATTTACTTTGTATTTACTACACACATATCTCCTCCTTATGAGTACTATATTCGGATGCCTGCTCAGTTTTCACTTATTCAGCGATTACTAATCCAGTTGAACTAACATGCAAACAAAAGGGGTGCATCGTAATCTCACCTCTCTCCATGGTCTCCTTTCCTGATGTGGACCCTTAGAAATCAAAGAGAAGTTCCTGTTCAAGAAGGAACTCTCCATGTGAACAAGGATGCAAGACAATCTGGGTTCTTGTTTGCATGGAGACTCTCCATATAAACAGAAACACCCCTTCAGATGTGCCCTTTCCACAAGAGGGAAGCAACAAGGGAGGGCAGTGAAGTTAAGCATTCCACCCTTCACAGGGAGATTAAAAACAAATAAATAATACCCAAAGAGGAGCCAAATTTCTCCTATACAAGAGAATTTATCTTATACAAGAGAATGAATTACAACATTTTAAAGTGAAAAGAAGGGAATAGTATGGTATCAATCAGTAATCTAAAAAAACTCAAAAACATTTTCCCATGTGTGTTTTCTTTCTGTTTGCACTCTGCACATTTCTGTTTAGACCCAAGGCATATCATAAAGAATACACCATCATCAGCTACAGGCAACAAAAGTCACATATCTCCATTCTTACAGTCTTCAACATTCATGTTGATCAGTTCTGGAAATCACTTCTCCCTCCCCATATTATATTACTTTATGTAAGTTCCTGCAACATATGATTCAACAAATGGCACTTTACACTAAGACTTAGGTTTAAAGTACATCCAAGTAACAAATTTGCCCAAATGCCAATTCAATTTTTCCCTATAAATAGGAATAGTTAAAGCATAATTAATGCTCTTAAACTATACACAACAGAGTTCTTGGAATGGTTGTCCACAATGATTGCCTGTTACAATGAAGCTACATTGAGCAAAAGAGACAGCATTCTTTGCTCCCAGTACAGAAAACTAATGAGAAAAAAGGTTTAGGTTTCAGTGGTTCATATCTCTTGTGTAGTTTCCTTTCAGGTGTACAGCACTGCTGTCGGATCCTGTAGAATGGTATTTTTCCCATCAGCCATTCTTCAGAAGGGTGAAAGAGAGAAGGCAGTTCTCAAAGACACACAGTGCTCATTACTAAGGCATTCTTGACTTGGCTGATTACACTTTCACTTCTGATTACACAACACATCAGGCAGCACAATTCCTTTAACCGTCATCCAAGTAATTTCATTATTTTTATATGAAAAAACTTACTCATTTAATCAAAGCAAACAAAAAATTAGCAACATCAAATATTGTATTTCACCCAGATGTAACCCAGTACACACTTAACCCAGTGCATTTGGTGAATTTACTGGGATTTACATCTGGGCAAACATGAATGCAACTGGGCTATCACAATACATGAATGACAACACTCAAAGAATCAGCAAGAGGTGATTATCAGTATCAGGAAACATGCAAGAAAAAAGTAATTTTATGGTAATATACAAAAGAAATAAGGGATAACTAATAACACCTGCAAAAGAAAGAAGGGGAAATGGCCAAGAGTGATGCAATTGGAAGAAGCACAGATATAAAGTGTGACAAAGGAAGAACACTCAAGACTAAAAAGGAGCATGAAACAAATACCATAATATATATAGATTTATCAAGAAACTGCTACTATAGACAGACACACATGAGTTTATTAATTTGGAGTAAGAGAAAATGACTAGTGCATCAGATATTTCAGAAACAGTTAATAAAAAACAGTACTGTTTAAATTCCATATCAAAACCCTGTATTTGTCCACTGTGAGGGGAAAAAACACAAAATATCACCAAGGAATTCTTCAGTGAAAATTGTATATAAAATCTGGTGGAAGAGCAACTAAGATATAATGTAATTAAGACAGAAATTTACCAATGAGCATGGAAAGGTAGGAGGGCAAATGCTTTTGTGCTGGCCATCAAAATTAGATTTAAGAGGAATGCAGAAATGCATCTGTCTCCTATATAATCACTTGGCTTGACATATTTTCATACCACATTTCTCCTGACGTTTCGCCTGCATCTATGGCAAGCATCTTCAGAGGTTTGAAACCTCTGAAGATGCTTGCCATAGATGCAGGCGAAACGTCAGGAGAAATGCCTCTAGAACATGGCTCTATAGCCCGAAAAAACCCACAAGAACCTAGTGATTCCAGCCATGAAAGCCTTCGACAATACAGGAAACTAATAGATTGGTTTTATAGCCTATTTATGAATATCAAGAAGAATGTTTCATCCAGATCTCAGTCATCATGTGTATTATGAGAGTAAATATAATCATTTCAATTCAACAACCCATTAAAGAAAATAAAGAGTTGTTTTTACTCTCTTGTTTCTTTCTGGTTGAATAATTGATACATACACACTTACAATAAGTGTGTGACCTATATTGTTTAAACACTGTGTCAACTCTTATGTTTGCTCACAGTCAGTGCTCTCACATTATGGGGTTAGGCACTTTATCTACTGTGTAATTAAAAGCAGATTCTTATATGTAAAGTTTTAACAACATCCTTATAAAATAGGGTATAAAGAGTTTCAGCCTACAATTCTAACTAAAAACACTATAAATAATTTTAAGGGGAAAAATCTGCTAGATGGAAAACAAAGATGACCAGAGAATATCAAGGAAGAAAATCCCACATTATCTGAGTGTGGACTCAGATAACCCATTTCAAAGCAGATATTGTGGGATTTTCTGCCTTGATATTCTGGGATATAGGGCTGTGTGGAAGGGCCCTGAGTTACAGAAACATTTCCATAAGGAGATAAAGTATCAAAGTAAATCAGAGTTGTATGTAACTAAGTTGGATTGAATGTCCTTACCCCAGTCTGTTCCATCTCCAGAACTTCTAGATTCTCCATCTCCTTCATCGGATGTGGCCAAAAAATCAAATTCCTTCAGTGCTTCTTCAGTATCTCTGTCGTCATTATTATCAGACACCACCTTTCTTCTTACAATCTACAAAGGACATAAATAATAAATAATCATATACATTTCAAAAACATTTCATTTTTATTCTGCACACGTCAAGCAATTAAAATGCAAGCAAGGGGAGGCAGGATATATGTCTCTTCTCAGTTAGAATCTAATTAAAATTCTGATGAACGTACTGTTTAATTTTAACAATATTGGGGAATTTATTCAAAGTATTGCGTAATCTGTATTTGCTGAATTTAAAATACAGATCTAAAAAGCAAAGACGGAGCCAAGCTGCATTTCTTATCAATCAGAAGACTTTAACTAATTCATACTTCACTTTTCCTTCCTCTACTACTGACCTTGGTCTCTCAACCTCTCACTCTCTCTTTTGCTCACACATAAGCACACACACTCTTACTGAACTGACAATTTATTCAAATTGGAAAAATCCTTCTTGTAGAAAAATGTGGGCTCTCATACCAAATATTTTGTCAGACTGTCTTCTAAGTGAAAGTGCTACAGTTAAATCCTTGTCCTTTGCCCACAGAGAAGGATCTCTATGTATACCTGTTTATATATCAAGATATACAAGATCCCTTCACTGCAAGCCTCACTTTATGACTAGAATTCTCAGCCCACCGTTGATGTATCCATGATTGTTCGTTCTCTTCCATCAACATCGTCGTCATCATCTTCATCACTAAATTCTGCAGCAGCATTTTCAAGGAATTTAAATGTCTCTAGTAGAGAGGCAGAATCTGTCAAATCTGGTTTCCTACATAAAAAAGCAACATAAGTTATTTTGTCTCTGCTTCTATTTAATGTATTTTATATAGCCCAAAATTCACTGGGCAAGTTGCAAATAGAGACATCCACTAAGTGGAATGGTGGCCTCGTGAAGAACTGGAAGAAAGACTTCCCTCCACTGCAGCCCTGCTCCATTCAAACAGCCTCTGCAGGGCTGACCTGGGAAGTTAAAGGTTTCACCTTAAGAATTATTTCACATGGTCCATTAAAACAATATGATTTGTTCTGTATTGTTACATTCATGTTCCAGACAGTAAAAGAAAAACAAAACAACTAGATAGAAGAATCAGAATAACATTTATATATATTGTACAATACTTTGCTTGATGCAGAGTATAAATGACTTTATTATTTAATTTGCATAGAATTTGTAAGCCTCTTGTAATCGATACTGCATTTAATCCTAATTACTCAGTTAATATCAACAGATGGTTAAATAATACAAGTATTTTTGTACTGTATTTTCATGACTTTTCTGGCTGTATAACTTGAAGTGTACTAGGACGTTGTGTGGGCATCACAGACCAGCAAGAAAAGCTGAGTTCAAGAAAAAAAATAACACAAGAAAATTGTGGTCATGAATGCCATCTCAGTAAAAGTCACTCGGGAAGGCTATGAAGGGGACCAAGTGAATAGGCTATCATTTCTGAAGTCCATTCTCATGTTTTTCTCCTCATAGGCATTATGAATAATAAGTCTGTAGATTCCTATACAGGCAGTTCCTGGGTTACGAACAAGGTAGGTCCTGTAGATTTGTTCTCAAGTTAATTTATATGTGAGTCAGCACAAGTGCATTTTAAGTATAACTCCAGTAAAAAAAAAACATTCTTTATTTTTAAAAAATTGGATAGCATAGGGAAGGGTTAAGATTCCTGTAGTGTCTGTTTTGCTTCCTGTGTCCCTGTTCAAAATATTTCACCTCATTTTTGTCCCTGTAATTAGATTTTGAAAAGTTTGGGTTGTCATGGAAACCAGGATTGGTGATAAAGCTTCAGTGGGGACATCTTTTTCCCCATGATAACTCTTACAGGAGTGAATTTTCTTTCTGAGAGGTAAATTTCTTCTCACTTCCTGCTGTCTCACCTGTTTGCAAGTCGGATGGTTGTAACTCAGGGACTGCCTGTACATAATTCCTAGTTGTCAGCCCCAATGAGTTTGATGATACTTTCTCCCAAGTAAGCTCAAATGTCTTATAAAATATACAGAATGTACATACAAAATTAAATTACTACCAATCTTTTTACCGCAAAACAGCATCATATTATAGAAACATCATGCTGTAGTTTTATTCATATATTACTAAAATGGTTTACATGAGGCAGCAAAGCAAAGTTTCAACCTGTATGTGCCCTTGGTATTTGGATTAACATTTAAATCAGATGTGTGCACATGAACTCCTATATGCAGCAAGTTTATAGATAATGATAATTCAGATGTGACCAATGTATTCTGGCACTTTGAGCTCTGAGAAATGCCATAGTAACTTACACAAAGGAGACCCAAAACTTGGATAAGGGCACAAGGTTGACTGCATTGCCTCCTACATGTAGACTTTACACACTTGCAGGTTCGTATGAAGACGTGAAGAAAAAGATCACATAATACTGTTAAGCTACAAAAGTGGTATAGGTTGTATTCACAACGCCAAACAATTAGCTTTGAGTGATAAAAACATTCAGAATTCCCTTTTACACATGAAAATCAGATCATAGCACACAATACAATTTAGGCACTTTTGTCATATTCTGTATCTTTTAAAAGAAAAGAATAGAATTGCTTTCTCCACTTCAGGACATATTTAGACTACTCATTATCAGTAACAAGTCTCTCTGAACCTTCAAGAACATTTTCTACTGAATCATCTCAAATAAAAACAGGACCTCATTTATATTCTATGAAATTTGTTGTCAAATGAATATTTGGGAGGATGGAAGAAGTAGAAATATCACCACCTGTAAACTATCAAAGAAGACATGGATGGGGGAATAATTCAATATTGCTACAGAAGTTATTATTTCTGCTTTCTGATACACAAAGCTATTCATCAGCTTGAATACTCAGTAGCAGTGCCTGCAGGCAAGAAGTATTCCAACAATCTGGCAGACTTGTGTTCTTATTTTCAATTGATTAAAATTTTAAAAATTAAATAGTGCTGATCCAAAATACGGGACAATTGGACGAGATAGAAACTTTAAATATGTTTTCATACCCAGCTGATGCAGGTTGAACATCTCTTATGTAGATTCCAAAACTGAAAACACTTCAAAACCCAAAATTGTATTCATACAGCTGCCTGAGATAATTGCACTTTCGGTTTCTATTGATTCAATGTACATACTTTGTTTCATGCACAAATGTATTTAAAATATTGCGTATAAAATTACCTTTTGTGTATAGGAAACATACAAGAATTTTGTGATTAGACCTATGTCCAAGATTATGCATATACAAATACCATATCTACTTAAATCTAACACTCAACTTTTTCGGATAAATCACCTTGCTAAAATTAGGGTGTGCATTAGATTTGTGTAATATGACAATCTTAAGTGCTGAGCCAAAGCAAAAGAGGAAGCTGCTTCAGAAGTACCTGGAGCTCTTATCTGTTAGATGTTATTGTAGTTTGGTGAGGCATCCACACTCTTTGGCAGAAAAGGCTCAAGGCCTTGTCAAACTACAGCCCCCATGACTCTGTAGCATTGAACCAAGACAGTTAAAGTAGATTCATTCTAGAGCATAGATGCACCACAAGGTTTAATTTTCCATTGCTGAAAGCTTTGGTGCTCGGACACTTTTGTTTTTAAAGAAGGAATTCTAAGCAGGCAGCAACTGTAATGGCCAAATTATAACGAGTGCACCTTTTGCTGATGCACATTAAATTAGTCAGCAAATACTTTTTTGGTGTCAGGGTTTTGAAAATTGGAGTGCGCATGAGATTCGATGGCATATTAGACTCAAGTAAATATGGGTATTCCAGATTCAGAATAAAATCCCAAATTTTCTAATCTTTTTATTCAGGCAGACTTTTAAAGGTAAGGTCAGGACCTGCAGTGTTTCATGATTAATTCCATTTTAATGTTTGCATATTTTTAGGTTTTAATTGCATTGATTTTATAGTGAACTCCTTCTAGTCTCCTTTTTCTAGAAAAAAGTGGGATATAAATAATAATAATAATAATAATAATAATAATAATAATATGATTTTTTCCTGTGTTAGGAGCAACTTGAGAAGCTGCAAGTCACTTCTTGTGTGGGAGGATTGGCCATCTACAAGGATGTTGCCCAGGGGACAGCAGGATGTTTCCCCATCCTGTGGGAGGCTTCCCTCATTTTCCCGCATGGAAAGCTGGGGCTGACAGACAGGAGCTCATCCCGTTCCCCAGATTTGAATCGCCAACCTTTCGGTCAGCAGTCCTGTTGGCACAAGGGTTTAATAATAATAATATGATATGATATGGGATATTAGGCCTAAAATCTGATCTGGTGAATACTTGGTACAGCAAAATGTGAATTTCAAATAAAAAAACTCTCAAATTAGCAAACAAGTAAACTTTCAAGTAACATTATTATTACATAGTTCCTCAACAATTCATTATATTGGAGCACTTGTGTGAACACATTTAAAGCATCCATCTTTCTATAAAATGTCTAGTCAAATTTAATACTCTTCATCAGGTACAACAAACTATTTAAATGTTACAGTATATATGCAAAACACTTGAAAGATTTTAACATAGATTTTTGAAAACATAAAAATAAAAGCATATATTGCTTTCAAAACATCTCAACATATTAACTGGCAAGATGCAGTGTGTTCAGAATATTTTCCAATACAGTCAGTTGTTTTAAAGAACAAAAAAAATATTTAGCCACTCTTTATAGGCAGATAACAAACAGTGCTGTCCCTAAGCTATTTACTCAACTTGCATAGAGAAAGGTAAAATTATTAAAATAAAGAAGCAGGGATTAAAACAAAAATTGGTATATCACGCAAAGCTATGCCCAAACTGATAAGGCAGCTTCATCCACTGTTTTTCTTCTACCAAAAATGTTAATGGCAAAATGCATCCTTGACATTCACCGCAAACACTGGAAATGCTAGATGTTAATAAAGGTTACATTTTAGTACCCCTTCTTGAGTTCATTCATGCTGAACTGTGGTACTTATCTTTTGTACAAGTAGTGTGCTGATCTGAAGAAGAGCAACATTTCGTTCATAAAACATTATGAAACATATGTGAGTAGGATTATATCTGCCAAATTATCAAAATAAGGTTTCCACTGACGGATGTGAACTCTTCCAGGATGCATTCCAAATCACATGAAGCTCGAGTGTAAAAGTTTTCCCTGGGATCTGTACATTGGTAAATACATTGGCTTGCATAAAAGATTCTACAGACAGAACAAATAACTCTTCTTAATGGAATATAACCGCATTGTTTCGCCACTTTGGGGAACAATAAATTTAAAAACTGCCCTTAAAACAATACACTGTTATTTGATACATATTCTGATTTATAACTACTCTGATAAGTAAATAAAAGTAATCATTCATTATCAGAACTGCCCCAAAAGAAAAAAACAAGAGACCTTATTGATTTCCTGGTTCTAGGGTTTTTCATACAAACAATTTAATGATATTCTTCTTCCAATTTCCATTTGTATTTATTCTAAACTGATCAGCGGAAGTCAAATACTGACATTTATGGTGGTACTACACTGAATTCCATAATAAAATATTGGGAGGTAAAAGCAACCATATTAAGACAAAGAACTCTGTTCAAGATTTTTCTCAGATACTAGTATCTGAGAAAAAGATTAGTCAAAAACAGTCTTAGCAAAATGTGATGAATACAATGAACTATTACAGCAAAACCACACTAATTTGGCTAAAGTATGCATATCTAAAACAGTTGTACAAGGAACAGAAGGTAAAAACCTTTATCTTATAAACCCACTCTCCCCACAGTATATGTGTGCATACACACAGTTAGAATGTCATACTGGTGCAGCATTCTACATAACTGGAAACTTGAGATTTGTGCATTTCTTTCAAAAGCATAACTTGTACTACTGGTATCATCTCACTGTCAGAACACTTACCCAATCATCACCTTCTCTTTAATCTCGGCATCTGTGCCATTCACCATTGATTCTTGGTTTTTGTCATTATCCCTGTCTGGGCCATCGCCTGAGAGACCCAGCAAAGTCCGTACCCGTTTTGACTTCACATCCAGTATTGTGTCAGTATATCCCACTTCTTGGAGGTATCTGTATCAATAGAAACTATGTCAGGGCTCAGGGGTGTCAAAGATGCTATAGTCAATAGCCACGACCGACCCAGAAATGAACAACAGTGAAGTGGAAAGAGAAAGAATGTGACTGTGTGAGGCTGACACACCAGGCTTACAAATCATCCTGTACCAGCTGCAGAGGGGATTGTCTCTTGTAGTACCAGCCTCTACAATCCCGAGAAAAGCAAACAGCTTTGCCATCCATGTATACACAAATACATTATTCATTATATTACTCAAAAGGGGAGGGGGGAGTCTTCACACATTTTGAGCACAACATTCCTTGAATAGAATCAGAATGGACTTCTGACAGACTTCATAAAGAATGGAGGAGATGATTTTTGCCAACTTTCTTCTCTTAAAGTCTTTTAAAAGTTGGCCCAGAAATTTGGGGTGGCCTCCAAGACAGCACTGGAAGCAGCTTGCAAAGTGCAAAGGGTAATGAACAAATATTGTTTCCTTTCTCCTTTCCTCCAGCAGATTCAAACTGGTTACTTCTACACACTTTTTTTCCTCAAAGGAGTTGCAAAGGCCAGGACCAGGAAAATTTATAAGAATTGTTGTTGTATTAACTAGCCATTCTATATCACTATTGTACCTTCTAATGTTCCTTTTTATTTAAACACTAATTTGGAATTAAATCAGTTTTGCACAGGTTAGGAACTGTGGAAAGTTTATCTGCAATAAGTCTCAACAAGACAGCTCCTGACACTGATGCAGTGAAGGGGCTCTTCTGCCTCGTACTTTCTATGCCCAAACTCTACTCCCAGAGCAAATCTTGAGCATGTGGAGAGGACAAAAGAACAACTGTGGTGCAAAGGGGATTCAGCACAGGCAATGTAGAATTTTGCCCCGAGCAATCACTGCTTCAAACTTTCCATTTTGGTAAGAGGAGCTCAGGGTCAGTCGAAAGCAAATGAGGACATAAGAATTCGGCCCTACAGTGGATGTGGATTCAATTCCCACTGAAGACAAAGGTCCACAGTTTGAGTGTGCACCTGATACAACCTCTAGCTCGGAAGTTCAGGTCTCAGAGGTCCCCAAGAATCCCTCTGAACACTTAAAGCTTGTCCACCAGCTTCAGCTGTTCCAAGAAACATCAGAACTGGACATAGTAAAATGCACTTTAGTTACATCCCAAAAGATTACTGTAACACACTCTACTCAAGGAGCCTTTGAAAAGTGTTTTAATATTTTAGATGATCCAAAGCGCTGCAGTCAGGATTGTTTACTGGGGCTGGCTAAAGGGAGCACACGACTTCCTTGTGGCAACAGTTTTACGGGTTGGTGGTTCATTTCTGATCAGAATAAACAGTGCTGGTTTTAACATTTAGAAAAATCACACAGCTTAGGTCCACGTTATCTCCCTGCGTTTTGAGATGCTTGGAAAGGGCCTTTTCTCCCTCACATGTATATGTAGTCGGAATGTAGGTGAGGGTCTTCTTAGTGGCTGGTTTTGGCTTCTGGAACTTCCTTCCCAAAGAGGACAGACTTTGGTGTCTTTCTGCAAAGCAGGTGAAGCATTTTTTAAAAGACTGATTGCGCAGTGGAATTGTGTTGTGCTGTCTATCGGTGTTATCTTTATGTGTTGCTTTTGATAGCTATGCTTTTTAATTCAGTTTAGTCAGGAGAGTTTAATTATATGTATTTTTAATTTTTGTATTTGATAAAGATTTTAGTTTTATTTCTTTCAATTCTTGTAAGCTATCTTAAGTCCCATACTGAAAGGAAACACAAGATATAAATGGAGAAGGAAAACGAAAAACAGTGGCAGCATCCAATAGTGCCTGTTTACTACATTTGACTTAAGCTATCCTTCCTCCTCCTGCCTCAGTCAAAATGGTCCACATTCTACAATAATCAATAGAAAGTTCTTTGGATATGTTTTGGAATTCTTGCTTCCAGTCAGTTCCATCAAGCTCATGTGGAAAGTTTCCCAGTTTTGTTTGGTCTGGCACTAATACTGGAGATAAATTCTTCTGACAGAAATCTGAGCTAGTATCTAGATGTTATAGAGAGAAGTTTATCTTTAAACCCAACAGCAATAATAACAGAGTTGTCCAGATAAGGCCAATTTAAGTCTGAAAGAATACTGTTGAAGCATTAGTGCTGTCAAACACAACTGTTGCCAGAAACTGACTAAGGATGGCTTTCAGTAAATACCGATACTAATGTACTTTAATGATTATTTTCCATTGAATATTGCACTCTGTCTGGGGTATTATGTAAAGAATGATCACACTTTGAGGAGTTTACTTATACAACAGGAACAGCTTTATTGCAACTTACTGTCTAAGCAACTGTCGCCCTTGTTTCCATATGAGTTGACTATTTGGCTGTGACTGGACTTCAGTCTCATTCCCTTCATCTGAAAGATTAAAAGTAGTATAATAACTACATATAAAGAGATTCAGTTTTGTTAACTGCATTTTCTAATAGTAAAAAAGCATTTTCTAATAGTAAAAAAGCATTCAGAACTGTCAAAATCACAGCAAAACAGAACACTGAACTGCAGTGGTTTCTCAAACAAGAGAAGCTCTCAGGGTACATGACAGCAAGGATGGCATAAAACCCACATGTAGATGGAAAGAGTTAAAGTTTTGAGAACTACTGCTGTACTGAAACACTGAGTTGGAAAATAATAAAATAAATGTAGTTGGCATTAGTCCATCAACATGCCTTTGCTTTCAAACATGCATAGATTCCCTTTTTCTCAGAATGTTGCATGTTTTAGTCTGTATAAGAAAGGCAAGTAAATATCATGCTTACTTGGATCTAATGCTCACCTTTTTTTGGCTAAACTACCATCCCAAAAATGGGGTGCCCATTAGATTTGCGCAATAGATCTTGGTGCTGAGGGAAAGCTACTTCAGGAGCACACGGAGGTCCTATTTGGGGGACCTCGTCTCTAATTTAATTACCATGGTTCAATGCTATGCAATGCTAGTATTTGGTGAGGCATCAGCATTCTTTGGCAGCCCCCATGACCCCATAGCATTGAGCCAGGGCAGTTTTAAAGGATTCTTTCTACAGCATAGATGCACCCCAATGTTTTATTTTCCATTGCTGAAAGCTTTAGTGTTCTAACACTTTTGTTTTTAAAGAAGGAATTATAAGCATGCAGCCACAGTAATGGATACCTTTTTTGGCCAAATTACAAAGAGCGCACTTTTTGTTGCTGCGCACTATATTCACCAGCAAATTCAGGGTTTTAAAAATTGGGGTGTTAGATTCGATGGCACATTAGACTTGAATAAATACAGTAATTAAATCATTATACCAATTTGCCTACATCTATAGAACATGCATTCAATTCTTACATTCTCATAATGGAAGGTTGCAGCAATCAAGAAAATATGTAATCAGAGGGTAAAATGAAAGCTTGCAACATGATTCAGGGAATAAAATGATGCTTTAATAAATTAGATTTCAAACTCTGGTTTATTTGCATCAGTTTTTTTTTAAATTATGCATAACAAAAAGGACAGATGGAGAAGAACCTATTTGCTTTTGGTAATAGAGAATTTGCAGAGCTCTGGATAATACTAAGCTGGGGAAATGATAGATACATAGCTGTTACATATTCCTAACAAAAGTCCCTCAGATATTTTTCTTATCATATCCCACACTATGGATTAAAAGTTAAACAGCTTGAAAAAATAATTAAAATAGAAAAAAAAATAGATAAGAAAGTAAAAAAAAATCATGAGATTCTTAGACTGAGAAATCCAGAAGCAAGAGTAGTGATTCTAAGTATTATGAAGCTTTTGCTTAGGAAACAATGAAGGGTTGAGAAGGCAGAATCTAAATGTTGATACAAACATAACGCACACAAACATGAATGCAATGTTTAAACCATCTTTACGATTTTTGATAAAACTGGGTACTAAAAAAGGAGTGTAGGACACATTCAATTGCACTTAAGCCACTGACAATTAGCCCAGAGGTTAATCTTTATCTTGGGCAGCTAGAAAAGGAGAGAGGGGTGCATATACAGAGCAACGAAGAATGAATAATCACACTGCTCATTCCTAAACCCTAGTTCTTGTTACACCCGTATCACAAAATAACAGTACAGCTTTGTCGTCTGCCCAGTTGTTTCTGGCAAACAAACTAATTCTCACCTGAATCATAGTTTGGAGGTTTCATGTCCCCCTGATTCAGCTCAGTGCCATACTTTAATTTGTGGTATTTCGCTCTGTAAGAGAAAGAAAAATAATTTTATATATGAACAAATCTACTTGTCCTGGTTGTTTCTACTCTTAACACACTCGCTCCTCATAATATTCTCTTGAAATGTTTTTTTTTTAATCCTAGAAATACTACATGCCTATTTTATCACTGTCTGACATTTGGGTATGTTTGGCATATAAATGAGAAAAAATGGAAAAATGAATTTTGCAAGGTTAGCTTGCACAAGAAGGATCTGTTTAGTTGTCAAATCTGATATCTAAAGACTTGAAAAATCCAGTCCAGTTGTGCTTCGCAGGTTTTCCAGACATGAAGATAAAAGCTAGGAGTTGTTGTCAGATTAAGAGACATAAACAATCAATACTGCCAATACCTATTTCAAGGAATAGGTTCTTACCTTCCTGACCAGAAACGTAACTCAAACGACACATGAGTGAAAAATGTTGTTATTCTATTTTATTTCTCACATAGGACCATGAAGTTTCCACAGTATTCTCCCTTCTAGAGGAGAAAATGAAGATTTCTGCACTGTTCATGAAAGCAATCAGTATTTATATCATATTTTGCAAAGTCTCTGGGGGCATTAGTCTACACCAGCGCTTCTCAAAGTGTACTCCACGGACCTGTTGGGGCTCCACAAAGCATACTGAGGGGCTCCACGGTTCCATCCTCTTACTTCCACCTTCTCCCCCACCAAGGTTTCTCTCCTCTTTCCTGCTCCTCCCCCTCTCCCTGCCTCCCTCCCCCCAAAGTCTTTTTCTTTCACCTTCCAAAATCCTATTTCCCTCCCATCTCTCAGGAGATCATGTTATTGTGCTTTTCTTGCATGGCAAAAGGGAGTTGGACTGGATGGCCCCTGAGGTTTTCTTGTTGTTGTTGTTGTTGTTGTTGTTACAAAGGCTGGGTTGCCATCTTTTGAGGGTGCTTTGATTGTGCTTTTCTTGCAAGGGGGTTGAATTGGATGGCCCCTGGGTCTTCAACTGAACTAATTTTAAATTTATGTTGATTACAAAGTTTGTTCATGGCTGATATATATATATATATATATATATATATATACACACACACATTATATATAATATATAAACATTTCTTGGAGCTCCGTGAGCAATGTTTGCTTCAAAAAGCGCTCAGCAGCTGAAAAAGTTTGAGAACTACTGGTCTACACACAATCATAAACTATTTCTCTTAACCAAAAAAAAAAAAACCAGATGACAATGTGTAGAAAATATGTTTCCTTACCAGGAAAAAAACATTTCTATGGGGGGAAAAATCTTTCTTTCTCACAGATAGCATAATTTTAGTACTGAAATAAATATTTCTGAACAGAAAATATATTTTTGCAAAGAAAAAGTGTGTATTTTCATATAGAATATTTTCCCCAAAGAATTCACAGAATAGAAGGAATTTCCAGAACAGCCCTGTTCTCTGTATTATTCTGCCATGAAACAAGTAACAAGTATTTTTCTTTCCATCACTACCACAAATGAACAAATTCCTTTTTTAATGATACCATAGAGACATCAAAGTGAGTCAGATCAGTTGGGAACACATTTGAAACACAAAATACCAGGGCCCATTATCATTTTATTTTTCCCCAATATAATCTTCAACTTCTTTTCCATAACAAAAATTTAATAAAAACTATTGCCCTGCAATAGTTATGAGTTAGATGTGTAGCATGTGGATGCACTCCAGTTAAAAAAAAATCTCATTCACAATTACAAAGCATCAGGTAAAACAGAGAGTGTTTCAAAAAATCTTGGCAAAACATAAAGTGTTTTCAGTCTTTCCAAAAAGGCTACCCATGTGGTTTTAGAAAGCCTAAATAAAACTGAGAGTGCCTGTTCACATAGCAATTTGCCCATATATTATCCGCATTGCTTCACATGACCTTTGCTTTTAGAAAATGACTTTTTAAAATGTTTATTCTTTTGTACATAATATTTTAATATACTTCATTGTACATAATTGGTATCAGGTGAGCAGAAAACAATAAAAACCCAAGTTTGGAAACAGGCTCAAAAAGTAATGCACAGCTTTTCATCAATAAAAGCTTCAGCAGAACTCTAGTCTGTAAAAAGTCTGTTTATAAACCTAGATGTTGTTCTCAGTTCACATGCTTGTATTAACTTTTTAAATTTAGAATAAATAAGGATCTGCTGAGTATATGGAATAATTATTACAAAGCTACATGAAATAGTTGCTATTAAATTTGTGATATCTAATTTAAAAAATATTCCACATGTAGGTTTTTTTAGAATAATAAAAAGGAACATTTGTGTGTCTGTATGTGGCAGACGCAACTCATAAGAATGTTAAGCTAAACACTTCAACATTAACAGTGTCTGGTTGAAGTGTTTCGAACCAAGCTTTGAAATTAAAGGAGTACAAATGGGGACTTGAACAATCACAGTTCTAATTTCACTCCTATGGATAGCTATTGAAGTGTGTAGTCTGTGCAGAGGGAGACTATAAAACTATTCCAAAATGTGATATTGTCCCCTTTGTCTGAAATAATTCAGGTGCTAAATTAGTTCCAAACTACACTCTTATTCAAAGTAAATAACTGGATTTTGGGGGATCCAAAAAGCATTAAAATGCTATTCTACTGTTATCTTCTTTAAAACTGATACATTTCAAATAACACAAAATATCCTCTGAAAGATTCTCACATAGTTGTGTAACTTTACTCCTCCCTGATTTGCTTTCCTATTACAATGTTAGGGCTGCTTAACCTCAATTTTCTTATACAGATGTTGGTTTCACATAAGAAAACCATGTGCATATGTGAAATACATATGTCATTTACTTAGAAGCTAAGTATTGGGCATATGAATATTGTCTGAACCAAGTGAAGAATCAGACTGATCTTACATACACCAGGTATGGAGAACATTGATCTATCTGAATGAATGTTTCTTGATTGCAGCTCCCATAATATCTTATCACCAACTGTGTCTATGACTGATGGAAGTTGTCATTCAACCATGTCATATATTTCCCACCACTGGCCTACCCTAGGTGGCATTAGGGATCTTAAGCAAAGTTAATTTGTACAGAATCAGGCTATTTGTTGTGAAGAAGACTCAGCTCTAAGCACCCTTTCAGGAAACTAAGCCATAATAAAATCAGTGGAATTCACTTTCAGATAAACATGAACAGGATTGAGTTATATGTCTCATTAGAATAAACAGAACAAGTTTGTTATATCTAATTTAAATACAGGAAGAGGTCTTCAGTAAGATTTAATTCCAACCAGCTATCTAGAACAGAACATGTGAAATAGACCACATAAAAGTCACCATGACAGACTTTTATTTTAATTTGCCTCGATTTTACTCTATCACTAACAGAAACAAGATATGCAATTTCTAGGAAGGAGTCCAGGTAATTTTTCTGATTATTTTCCACATTACAGTTCATATAACCTGACAGCTTATTTAGTCCTCCAGGCTTTTTCTGGGTGAATTACTTCTTTAAATTGTAATCTAATTATGCTGCAGGCTCTTTCTCAACTAAACACAGTTCAGCAATGTCAGCACTGAACAGCTCATATGACATCATGCAGTTCAAATGATTTGTTCCAACATAGATTGTGCATTTGTCAATAATGTTTTATCAACAATGGCATTGTCAACTCCTGAAGTGGCTTTGCAAAAAGACATATTGGCCATTTATTTGTACATTTTCCCAACTAATGCTTTTTTAAATTTATTGGACATTATAAGACATTATAAGTACTCTTACTATTTGATAATGTGAAAATTACTTAAAATAGTAATTCACCTAATGCATTTATAGAACTGACATTACATTATTCCTTTCTAAAAAGAGTTACTGACTATCTCAAAAAACGTTTTAATTAATGTGGAAACATAGTCTCCAATCCTTGAGGTGAGCAATGTTAAAATCTGGATACCTTTTCTGAAACAGCATGCATAATTTAGGCATAACTGCTTTTTTATAAGTATATTATTTTTGTTAAATGTTTAGGGAGGCAATGCACATGGTTAAAACTATTTCATAGCTTATTTTGAGCTGGAATAAGGAATAGTGCTTAAAAGGCCACTGTTACCATTCTAAGACAGAAAAGGGTTCCTATATTCATAGTTAATCATTCACAATACCTTTCTTGTTTAAGAGCATATTCCAGCATTTTTATTCTCCGCACTAGATCCTTCTTCAGATTCTCTTGTCCTTTTCTTTCTCCTTGAAGGAAGGCAATTTGTGCCTGAAAAAAACAACAAATTATAAAAAAAAACTTATAAAGAAATCAGTTTGCTTCCTTCTATTCTATAACACCGATTTTTTATTTACAATATTAGTCAGAGGAATGTCAGGGATATTTAGGGTAGTTAGCTATCATGTCATGCAGTATCTTTCAGACTATCTGGGAGAAGTTTGTAGCATAGTTTCATAGACTCAAGGCTTATCTACACCAATGAAAAAACAGGTCGAACCCAGAGTAGCTTTGGGTCTCAATAACCTGCAATTCAGACTACTGAGGTCTAAAGCTCCCCTGGATTCACGCCATTAGCACCACATGTACCTGAGTTATACTCTATTGAAATTGTATTGATGCCCGCACCACAAATTTAAATTAGGATTATTTTTTATCTCTTCTTCTCCTTTGAAGTGATGTGCTTACTGTTGGCTTCCTGGACAAACAGTTTCTCAGCAGAATCTTGCTGGGGAAATTGCTTGCTTGGACATCAGAATGAGCATCCAGCTGTGTATCAGTGGTGAAGAGGTAGCCCAATGGACCCACACACTGATATTTTTAGGGCTGAGCACCTTGTTCTAAGCAAATGATTTCACCATTGGGACCGTGCTGGGAAGCTGTCTGTTTGGGAGGGCAGCGGTGGCAGCAGATATGAATAGGAAGGAAGAATCAAAGACCTACATGCACACGTGCAAACATGCACATGCAATGCCTTCTAGTACAAAAATACAAGAGAATGGAAGCCAATGGCAAACCGCTTTGGAGAAACTGGTTTTCCATTTCCTTCCTCCCCGACCCTCTGCTGCTTCCCAGTGCAAAAATAGAGGGATCTATGGTGTCAAAATTAGCAATTAGCATTGGATATGTAACAAAAATTGCAATGCTTGATATCTAGCAGTCTGTCCTGCCCTTTTACCCCAAAACACTTCAATCTAGAAATGATACACAAGTAACAAAACACAACAACAGAACAACTTTTCCTGGAAACTATGGAGTAAGAAATGAGTTTTGATATATTCAAAGGCAACCTTTCACTGCTAAAAGGGTTGTGCATCATCAGGATCAAGCCAGCTACAAAAATGAGAACAATTTTTTGAATCACTGTAGACAGGTCACTTAGCCCTCAGTCTAAGTAATCATTATCACCTCACAGCTATCTTGATCTGTCATACAGTGTACAACTCCTTTAACAATGAAAGACGTTATTTTAGGATATACCAACACTCACTTCTGTCAGGATTCTGCAAAAGTTTATATTACAAACTTCTATCAGTACTACAAGACCTCTTAGTATACTGGTACAGACTAACATGGCTATGTCTTTGAATAAGACCTCAGAAGGATTGCCAACTACCCATTGACAGCGGACAGACAATTCTCACTGCAGAGTCTAAACACATTCACTTATTTATAGTTATAACTGTAAATTCCTCTGCATAAATATATTTTATATATAGAAAGAAGAGGCTGCCAAAGCAGAAGTGTGATAGCACTGGTAAGCACAGTGGTGGCTGTAAATAATGAAGGACATATGAATTAAAGTTTTGTTTTTGTAACAAAACTGAGGGAATATTGATTTTTATCAAATATGGGCTACTAGAGAGTTTTTTGGCTTAAAAAACTATTATACTAAAGAAGAGCAATGAACCTCAGCACGCAGGAATGGGAAGCTGATATTCTTCAACTGCACAGTAACCATCATATAAAGAAAGAGGCCATGGGTTGTTTCTTCTGTATGTAACAAAGGTACTGATTTTGCAATACCTTATTTACATGTAACAAGCAAGATGAAGAACACTGAAAGTCTTCAAAGAGTCTCATAATCTGTGGTGATAAGGACATGACAGTCAAAAGAGATCCCCATTTGCTGGAAATAGGCCTTTGAACAAATGTATTTAAATAGGGACAAGAAAAACCTAAATTTGATTGTGCGGCGTTTCAGTTTGGAACAACAAACTCTTAAGGTTGTTCTGCAGCCACTCCTAAGAAAGATTGTGACATTCAGACTCATATACACACCCTAAAATGATCACCAACAGGTTTTGCAAAGCCTTCTTGGCTATAAGGTCAGAGTCAGCTGTCAAAATTTCTTATGCACATGGAATGAGGTGTGGCATGAAAAGTAAAGCTACTTGGCTTATTTTGTCTGTAGCTAAAGCACATTCTCTTCAGTTTTCTGAGCTCAACATTAATAACCTCACAGGTGAAATACATTTCAAAATATCTCTCAGATTAATCAAGAGTTGGAAGAAAGCAACAAATAAGTTTGACAAGCAAAGCAGAGCAAAAGATAGAACTAGTTAACAAAAAAAAAAACCAACGTGAAAATTTCAACCATTAAATTATACTAGTTTGAAATATGCTTCTATACTATATTATATCAATACTATAATATCCAAGATTTTTCACACTAATATGTTCCAAAGCATGAGGATGTTCATAAATGCATTTTGTCAAGCATTACTCTGATGTGTAGTCAACTGTCAGCTTATGGTGACCCCAACTTCACTGGGTTTTCTTAGGTAAGGAGCACTCAGGGGGAGGTTGTGCCAATCCCTTCTTCTGAAATAGGCTACAGCACCTGATACTCACTTTCTGTTTCCCATGCAAGTACTAACCAAGGCTAATCCTTCTTAGCTTCCAAGATGAGACGGGATTATTTAGACATACATAACCTTTAAATCTCAAAAAGCGAGCTTTCTCGTTTCCTTTTGCTGCACAATCTAAATAATTCAGGCTGTTTAAATTGTGAAGGAATGCGCCCACTTACTATTTTTCATTATACTGAATTATATTTCCAACTGAGTGCACTATATAAGCAAAAGAGGCAAGTGTGTACAAAGACATAGTGATTAATTTACTCTCCAGCAATTCATCCATTTCTGTAATAAAGCTATTGTCAATTAGGAGGTGTCAATCACCCTAAAGGGACCAGATCCCATCTTATCTTGGAAGACAAGCAGAGTCATCCCTGATTAGTACTTGGATGGGAGACTGTCAATGAATATCAGGTGTGGTAGAAATATTTCAGAGAAAGAAAAGGGCAAAGCCACCTCTGAATCTTCCTTACCCGATAAAACCCTATGGAATTCATGGGATCGCCCTAAGTTGACAGGGGACTAGAAGACACAGACATGTCAAAAGCATCATCAATGTTGTTTGTCAGGATGTGTATATATAGCCTGAAGGAAAGTGTATTATTAGAACAGGCAATGATTATGCAAACAAACAAAAAAACAGACAGAATAAATTGTTATTTAAAGATTAGGCAGGAGCTTCACATATGTTAGAATCAATATGGGAGACTTCAAAGGATTCAGAATGCATTCTGTTCATGCGTTTTTACTGACAGCTTTAGTTTGAATGAGATGGCTAAAACCACAAGTAATTATGGTTGTTATTGTTGCTGTTGTTGTTGTCACTATGGATTTAATATTTCCTTTTCCCCCATCTTAGGACTAAAGGTGGCTTACAATACACAAAAACCTGAAAAATAACTGAAGTTAAAAAGTGATTAAATGATTAACAAAATTAAAAACATAGAATGTTTGGTATTCAAATGAAAGAAAATACAAGGCTATTCAAGTGTCAGGGGACCACTTTGGCAAAGAAAAAATAAATCGATGCCTCAACACATTTAACCCCAAGAATAAAAGCTTATACTCTTAATGCATCACTAGCTGTGCTAAATAATGACTGAATTTAACTTGAAGATACATCTCTGTCAGCATTCAGACAATTCAGGGGAGATAGGATGGCTACAAAAAAGATATACAGTACATCTATAGCCAAATGTAGAAGACTGCTTTTGTGTGTGGATTTCCCAGGTGGAACTGGGAGGAGAACAAATTAACAGAATTTAACATAAATTGATGGAGAAAGAGATAAAATTAACTGGAAGGACACTACTAATCCCAGCTTGTGTACAAATGAAGTTATTGTGATAAATCAATATTTTTTTCACCTGTCTGGAATGTCATTTGCTATCTTTTGAACATTTGAGAGATTAAATGTAACCAATGTTCTAAGCAAACATGGTGCAGTGTACTGATAGTGAGGATTTTCTCCTTTTGAATGTACTCCATCCTATGTATCCCTCTGTATGCTTATTTAGTTTTCAGTTTAGTTTAATTTTTATTGAGTTTATAACTATACCAAAAGTACTGATTGTATTTTAATCTGTAGCTTGTTTAATTATGGTTTAATTGTTTTATTATGTTTTAATTGCTATTATTGACCATGTCTATTTCCTTTTTGTCCTGTATGCTTTATACCTTGTTGTCAGCCACTTTGAATACCTGGTGGGAGAGAAAAGCAGGATATAAATTATTATTATTATTATTATTATTAATAATAATAATAATAATATGCTTTTGTAATTTAGGCTGTACTGAGAGCTACAGGAGGAAAGCAGATATTGCTGCAACACCAACTTCTTCCAGCAAGATGCCTCCACTGATTCTTAAAATAGAATGAGTCCTTCTCTTTTCAGACATGAATGACATCCAATCTTACTTCAATTTATACTTTGTTTTTCTTTTTCTTCTCACATGGTTTACAAAAGATTTCCACCAAATCCTAGTGTCTACATGTATTTAAAATAATCCTAAAATGATACAGAAAGTCAAATGCTATATTTGCATAATCTGTGCATAGACACTATTTAAAGCATTGGTATGAAGGAATTTAAATCCCTTTATGGCTCCGATTGAAGAAAAAACCTCTCTCATATCAGTTTGCCTTTGGTTTTATATCAGTTCTGGTGGTTCATCTCTGTGTTAAAAAAAAGGGCAGGAAATGATGACCAAGGAAGGGGACTTATCTGGTCTGGTTTCTCCCTCCACTGGCAAAACACCCTCCAGGTACATAGTACATTGCTGCTTTTAATACCAAGTCCCCCTAAAAAGTCCCCCTTTACACATGGACCTCACCAGACGGTCAACACCGAAATCAGATTGACTACATCCTTTGCAGCCAAAGGTGGCGGACATCCATCCAGTCGGTGAAAA